AACCAGTTGAATAATGGGTTAATCTTAGCCTTACCTCGCTCTGATGAACTTGGTACCTTGGTGGACATGGACGGATCCACCTAGGAGGTAATCCCTCCATTGTGAAATTTCCCAATAATTCAGACAGGACCTCATCTCTATCACCAAGTCCAATTCTGGGATTCCCTCCAGGTTGCACATCGAACCTAAAAGATTATTGACTCAAAGATCATCCATAAACTCAACTTAAATTCGGCACATGAATTATTAAAACAAAATTTAATCTGAAAGGAAAACTGGAAGCTTAGGAGAAGTAGTTCAGATTCAACTGTAAGTCCACATAACAGCTAGAAAGAAACAGAAGTCCCTAACTCAAAGGTTACATACTCTGGAGAGTTAGGATCGCAACCACGAGGAACATCAGGATCATGCAACAGGTTTTTGAGGGAGTAGTCTGCAAAAATGTGACTAGATGGTCCAGGATCGGCTTTGTCGCCATACTCTCGTTGCAGCTCTCCTAGTTCCGGAAAATCCTGACAGAACATCACCATATAAATTACTAACCAGAAAAGGTTTCTCTTAATGTTCTCCAGGTAATATTAGGCCTAATAGAGTAACAGTTATAATGAATATATAATTGGAGTAGAAGATATATATGTGTCAACTGCTCTTACATGAGTAGAAGGATCAAACGATCTGATATAATCAACAGCTGACTGTTTGAGAATCTGCAAGGGAGCAAACCACAATTAGTTTAACTGATCATGAATACTTACTTAGTATCTACAGGTCATGGAGCTCATAAGATTATATAAATCAGGACTTGAAAAAATGAGAAATGGAATAAGGCTTATTATATGCCTGATTGGAGCGATGAACTAGTTTATGAAAAAGATAAGTGAACTCAGCAAACAAGTTCTCACCAAGGAAAATAGTAGTAGAGAGTAAATGTATAAAGGGAATTGCATAACAGCTTTATGCATAAGTTTTGAATTATAATGGAATAGCAAAAATAAAGTAGGCAAACAGATCATGGAACAGCTATACGTGCAGCTATATCCTACCTCTTTCACGTTGTTGTAACTATTCCATTGTAACAGGTGGAGAAGAAATGCTCTCTCAGACTTTTCCAATTGCTCATTACAAGCAGCCTGCAAAATGCATAGATATTGTTATTCTTTAACACGAGAACACCTCATTCATGCTAAGACACAAACTATGACTGCCAAAATCAATCTATAGGAGGCCAAACACATCACTATATAAAATTAAGCCTGAGGAAAGACATGGAAACTCATCATTCTCAACTACCATGCCACTACAAGAAACAAATGACCTATACAACCTACCAAGCTTAACACTTAAATATGCTTTTGAAAACAAAAATTATATCAGTCACTACAATTCTCCAAGATTAACAGCACACTGATTACATAAAGAGATAATCAACAAGAGTAGATGAAGTCTGTATAAAAAAGGCTGCTTACACTTATCATTTCAGATAAAAACGGGTTAAGAGATGGCTTCTGGGAAGAGTAACACTTGTATATGATAGCAAATGCAATTAGACGTTCAGTACCCAAAAGCAACTTCTGATCCTGAAAATGAACAAACTTTCACTGAATTAGTACCCCCCAATCTGAGAAGATATATCAGAAATGGTTATCAAATGTAAACACGACTCAAAAAAAAAACTCTTTTACCATCACCTTCGAATTATTTATCCCCTGTGTATAAAATGAGTAAAACAGCGAAATGAACACTAACTAGTAAAGATAACACGAAACACTATACCATCATCCACGAATTCAATATACGAACCATATAAGCAAAAAAAAAGATCTCTTTTTCTGTAGACACGAAACCAAAGCTCGAAAGAAAACCCTAGATTCAAATCATATACTTCGAGTGAAACATCCAAAAACCCCAAAAACTCATTGTTGCCCACACAAACGAGAACACGAAGCAGAGCATCGAGAGAAAGTTCAAAAAAGAGTAGGAAGATGGATATAGCGGGGCGCGAGCACATGCCTGCAACAACATGGAAAGAGAATTGCAGACGGCGAGGTAACTAGAGCTTTGCAACTTAGAGTTGAATTCCGATAGAACATCTTCGATCGGCAGGAGATCCGATTTGAGCAGTGACAACACCACCGCCGACTCGTCAATCTTCATAATCATCGTCGTTGATCGATTCATCCTAAACCTGGATTCCAAATTCAATCAAATCTGTAGGGATTTTTATTTTCAAAGCTTCATCTCTGGAATAGGCCTTATACCTCTTATTTAAACAGAAGGTTCGAGCCTTTCGGGAAGGCCACTTTTGGTAATTTGTCTTTTCCTTTACAGCTTTATTAACTTTGGCAAGGTTTTAAAGAGTTTTGTAAAACTAATATCTTTACTTTGGAAATATATTAAAAATAATTACAGTTTTAAAGTTGAAGATTTGGAGTAGAATTGAAGATTTAGGTTTTAGACTAGATTTTGTGAATTAGGTTTTAGATTATTTTATTAATATAATTGTCATATTTTTAAAAAAGAGTTTGTCGTTTTTAAGAACAATTGTGTTTGTCAGATACGCTCCTTCATTGATATGTCCGTACACGAGATAATAAATATATAAATAAATATTGTCATATTTAAGTCAATTTTTATTTAAAGACTCTTTTTAATTTTGGACTGGATTTTATAATTTAGGCTTTAGACTTTTTTGTTAATATAAATTTATGAAAATTTCATAGATTTTTTTAGAGTTTGTCGTTTTTTAAAATAATTTTGTGATTTATCAAATTTTAATGCAAAATTGGCATTGCGCTCCTTCATTAATATGTCCGTACACGAGATACTAAATGTAAACAGATTATTATCATATTTAAAAGAGAATTTTTGAGAAATACCCCTTTTGGTGTACCCCTTTTTAAAAATACCCCTCTTTTCTATCCATTTTCAAAAATACCCCTTTTCAAATATGAAAAATTATAAACTTTTATATGGTTACTAAGGTACATCGAGGTCATCATTACTACTAGAAGACTAAATCCAAATATTTATAAGGTTTTAAAAGGTTCTAAACGGCATTTATAATGTTTTTATAAGGTTTTTAAAAGGTTTACACATTTTTTATAAGGTTTTTAAATGGTTTTTAAAAGGTTTTTAAAATGTATTTATACGGTATTTATGAAATACATATATAAATTTACACACATATAAAGATAATTTGTGTCTATAAATATAAGTTTACACATATGTTTTTGATAAATTTCAAAATTTATAGTGACTTTTTGATAAATCTAGAAAGAGGGGTATTTTTAAAAAGTGGTATTGGAAAAAGGGTATTTTTGAAATTCCCCCTATTTAAAATCACTTTTATTTTATATGGTAAACATACATAAATAAATGATACTCTGTATAGGTACGCATATATGTTAAAGAAATATATGATTTAAGCACATGCATATATGACCTAATTGATTTAGGTCTACATTTAATGTGTGATTGGTTGGACTGTAAGCTTTTTTACTAAATCTATATTAACATTTTTGAAGTACCTTTTGGAAAATAACCTTTTATTTTGTATTATTTGCATAATAAATCCTTGCCATTTAAATAAATAACAAACTTTTAAAATAAAATTTGTAATTAAATTACACCAAAATCGCAAAATTAGAAACTAATTTTATATTACATTTAACAAAATTTCCTAAAATGTCTCCCTAATAAATTGAATATCTCTCCAATATCTTTATATGATCTTATTTGTTTTAAATTTACATTATTACATAAAGCATAAGTGTAATAAAAATACAATTTTTTTTTTGCATATTTAGCAATTTGAATTTTTGAAAACGGACATATATTACTCAATCAATAAAAGAAAAAAAACATATATGTATAACGTCCCACATCGGGTAGAAAAATTTAGACAGTGGTTCGGAATCATTATAAATATGACTAATATGAAACTTAAAAATCCAAAATCTTGAATGGAAGATTACAAAAAAAAAAAGTTATGCTAAATTTTAGGGAATCCAAAATGCCTGGATTCCTATTCCTGTTTTACCTCGAGTTGGAATTCAGTGGGAGAAATTCCAACAAAATTCAGTGGTAGAAATTCTCCAGAAAATGAAAACGGCGATTTCCATACGAATCAGTACTGAGAAGCATGTGCCCATCACTCCAGCAATGGCACCGAAAATGAATGAGTTTTTGGAAAACAAAAACTAAAATCTCTCTCGAAATCTATAAAACATTCAAAGTTTATATTTTACATAAATATGATTTAACGGGTTTGAGTTTTATGTTTTTCTTACGGGTTATCTTACGGGTTAACAAAACAAAAAAAATAACAAATATAACTTAAACATAATTTTTTAGTCCCGCGAGTTACAAAAAGATATCCCGCGAGATAAGTAATAGAAATAACAATCAAAAATACAGTACACAAACTTAAACACTAAAAAGGTAATAAAAATTAACAAATATGACTTAAATATATATATTTTTTAGTCAAAACAATCGTCCCGCGGTGTACGGCGGGTTAAAAACTAGTTTAAAACAAAATTATAGTCTTTGTTCTTCATTTTTAATAAAACAGATTTGTACGAGGTTTAAAGGTTATCTATTTTTTCTAAGACAAAAAAAAAAAAAAAAAAAACTAGATCTAATAAACTGCATATACTATGTACATGTACAAGTACGTACAACCCTCCCAACGAAGAGTTTAAGTACATATTTAAAATTTTGAAAATATAATGTATGTGATAGTGAAACCTTTATGAATGTGTATGGGATTATATTGCGTTTAATTATTTTTTCTTTCGTATAATTAATCTTGTATTTTCCATGGATGGAGATTGTACAAAAGAAAATGAAGTTTTTGTTTTTGCAGAGAGTCCTACTTTTTTATTTTTTTAAAGTAATTTGATTGTTTAGGAACTTCATCAAACTTTAAACAAAATACTCTATAAGCAAATCAAATCAAAAACTAGTTTTTCCATCTAAAAACTACAAATAAGGAAACAAGTTAAATTCAGACTGAGTAATTGCATGATCTTGTACTCGATAGTCAAATTCATACATGATACATATTGCAAATCAAGTAAACTTAAACCAAAACAAACGAATTCCGAGTTTTAAGCTTAAAATGATCGGATGTTTCACTCATAAGGCAAGAGCAGAGGTAAGGTTCATGGGGTTCATATACTTGGTGGTACCGGTCAAGATATAACGGACTATCATGCGGTTTGCTTTCTCGGTCGGATGAAACGCGTCCCAAAACACGTACAAGTCACGGTTCGGACACAAGTTCGATAGTACTGTACACAAACCCAGCCCATTGTACGGCCCTTGTCCGCAACAAGCAACCTTCGAAGTTATAAATCCTATAAATACAAAAAAAAAAAAAAAAAAATCATTATCACCATGTCTCGTCGACCAAAAATAGTTAATCGGGAAGGAAACACTCGATTTAATTTACCATAGCTTCGTGGAGTTCTTAGAAAATCTATTTGCATTTGGTTGATGTTTGCTGCAATAAACACAGTTTTCCCAATCTTTCTGTTAAGTTCATTTATCATTTGGATTAGCTGAAGGTCGTATTGAGACGCAGCTTGTTGTAGCTCAGGTGAGCATCTCCCATTTGACGTGCCTGATCTCGCCAGCTCAGCCGGTGCACATCCTAGTGGTCCGGCTCCTGTCACTAGAACTCGACCCACTCCAAGCGAATTTAACCTCTAATAAATAATACAAAATGAATTTGTTTTTATTAAAATCCATGCATGCAAGAAGATGAAAGTTCTCGGCACCACTAGCTAGTTCAAATACCAATCCAAAAAAAAAGATTATGGAAAAGCCTCAATATGTTTTGCTATACAAAAACGAACCAAATTAATAATATTCATACCGTACCATCTTATATTATGAGATGCTGTTACGTTACCACTTACCAATAGTAGTTTTTTGTATTCAGAAATCAGGAATCGGACGTAATCGGGTAGAGTGAATTGGCGGGATCTAACGGAATATGGAAACAAGAAATAGTTGTTAACGAAATCGTTTCCGCCGACCGTGATTAATACAAGCGCTTGACTGACGAGCCGCTGCGTTCGCGGTCTCCCTATCAAGCGACTCACACGTTGTTGGTATTGTTGGAAGTAGTCGAGCTGTTGGTACATTCTTATGATGTTTATCTGCATACCACAAATCATACCTATCGATAAACCAGAAACATTATACAAAATGTTATTTTCTGACGTCAGACCTTATTTGATTACTTACGAACTGAAAGCCGGTATCGTTGAGAATTCCTATGCCAGCAGAGGCGAAATTGGCACCATTAAGGAGCCTTTGTCCCCTAAGCTCTGGATTAAGGTACGGTAACGGTGGCTCTTCGTTGCCGATTGCCTCACCTAAGCAAATATTAACCAATTGATTATTATTTTATATAACTTAAATATTAGTGACTAAATATATGTATACTCATGAAAACATTGAATCAAGATAACTCTAAACTGGTTAGTGAGATTAGTAACCAAACGTAACTGATAAGGTCTGGAATGTTGAGGCCATTGGAAAACCGGCCGGTTGGTCTCCGAGTTGGAAAATCGACTCCATACGGCAGAGAGTCAGCACGTGCTGTCGTGACGAGGTAGTTGTTGTTGCCACTGTCGACGAGCGAGTCACCGAACACGAAAAAGGCACGTCCCTCGACAACTATCGGACCAGACATAACCAATACTAGGAACATAGACATGAACTCTATAACCAACGATTCGGATTTTCTCGTATATGTCGCCATGAAGTCGTTTTTGTTTTTAGTGACTTTGTGAAAAAGAGTGACAATATAAATGAAAAACGAACGAAGACTGGAACATATTTAGTTGGTTTTTTCACTTTTTCATGTGGTTTATTAAAATGTATTCGATCCCGTGTTATGACAGCAAAAGAAAAGTGCTTCGATTTTGTAGTTTTTTAATAGTCTTGCTTCTAAAAAGAAGTGATTATATCACACAATATTTATCAGAATGATCAAAGCACTTGTGGTCCAATTGTCCAAGAGAATGATAATATTGTACATTTATGTATTATTGTAGTCCATAAGTTCACATCCCTTTTCCGCAATTGCTTTTTACACTAAATACTCTTAACACTTATCTTAAAAAGATCCTTTCTTTGGTCTTATACAATTTTTTGTCATATGTTTAAAACAAAAATTACGAATCATGAAAAGCTAAATTTTGTAATTATTTTGTGTTTCCTTGTGAATGTTTCGTTTCTAATGCTAGCTACAATATTCTTTATTTAATGCCAACTTCATATGATCCATACATCCACCTCAAGTTTCACAAGAAGGAACGAACGTAAGCGTTGGGACACAAATGATGAAACCCTTTATTCATTCATATAACAACAACAAGAACTCACATGAGGCTTGTGTACGACAGCTTCCCTAAAGAAACAATATTAAACTGTCCTTCCTAGTTTAGTTCCTAGCCATATTTGGGTTTGATTGGGTTACCAATAGGCCTTCTATTTAAGTATCAAAGATATTGGCCCACTACAAAAGCCTACTTACTAATTAGCCACGTGGATCTTCTTAGTCTGACTCCGAGTGCCACGTCTTCAAAACACATTATCACCGGTTAGTACCGGTTTGTTGGTTCGCGGTTAAATTAAGAGAATGAGATAGAGAGAAACAGAGTCTTCCATCTCCAGTAGAGTTTTTAATTTAGGTTTCTTTCTTCTTTCACCCAAACACACAGTCGCGTGACTCGCCATAGCTTCAACGCCGACGAGGTATCCAATTTCTTCATCTTCTCGATTTGATTACGACCTGTTTCTGCTTCTTCTTACTTACCCATCTTCTTGATTTTTTTATTGAACAGAGGCTCAAGCTAAAGAGTTATTTGAGTTCATAACTACATCCTAAAACCCTATAAACCCTAGCTGAGCAATATTCTTCGTAATGCGACCTCCGTTCAATTCCTTCCAGCCTCAAGCTCGTCCTCATCGACCGCAACAGCAACAACAACATGTATCCCTCTCTCTCTCTCTGTCATACCATAAAAATCTCTTTTTTACAGCAAAAAAAAAAAAAAAACCAAAACTTTTTGTTTGTATTGATATGTCTGTGTTTGCTTTTGCCATCTGCAGAACAATGGGTACTCTAATCACCACCAACGTAATGGGTATCAGAACCCAATGGAAGCTAATCAATTTAGGATGATGAATCCACATATGATGAGTAATCCAATGATGGGTCACATGAACAATCCGATTCCAATGTCTAATATGCCAATAAATCCTCAGTTCTTCAACAATCTATCCAATATGCCTCAACAACAGCTTCAGTTTGCTATGCCCAACCATATCAACCAGTTACTTCCCAACCTCTTGGGGAATCTTCAGTTTGCAGTTGCTAATAATAATCTTATGGGTCATTCACTCCCCTTAGGTCAACCCAATTTCTTCCAGCCTTCTCTCGAACCTACTGCTTTCACTTCTCAGCCACAGCTTAATTCCTTTAACCCCCGTCCTTATCCTCCGGTTCCAAATCCCCATCAAAATCACCAGTTACGGCCTCCAGGTTTCTCAGAGCCTAGACCACAGGTAAAACTTTTCGTTTACATTGCTTTTTTTTTCTCTATCAAGAGAGAGAGACTGGTCTAAGTTGTTTCCAGTACTTTTTGTTCTTTTAGTTAACTTGAGCTTTCACAGGGGCAGTCCGTAGGAAATGTTGATAACACCAATGGTTTCGGTCCCAAGAATGATTTTCGAAATAAATTTTCAAAACATCAAAAGTTCAAAGGCCCTGGTCAAGGGTATGTTCCTACTGCTTACTCGCCTTTCAATTTTTTGTTTGCTATAATCTGTTTTATATGTATTCTGAGTTGATGTAGATTCCAGAGATCTCAGTTGCATCAAGCAGATAATGGAAAGAGAAAGTCTGGATTCAATAAGGATCACAGGGGAAAAGGTTATTCCTTTTACATCGAATCACATATCTGATATTGACTATCTATCTATCCTCTTGTTTGTTGTTTGTGTATTGGAATATAAAATTAGCATTAGAATTGAAAAAATTTCACATCTTTTGGAGTTTCTAATTCTAAACGTTTAATATATTTCAAGTTGGTAGTTTTATTGTATAATCCTTGTATTGCCAATATATCTGTATTCCATTCCTCAAAATTTCTGAAACATTTGAGAATGTTAAAGGTGTATTTTGTCTACTCTGATCTCTCTTTCATTTACAGGGAACTATAATAAGATGAAATCTGGCCTCAATGGATCTGATGCTGTTGACATGGCTAAGGAGAAGAAAAGGTAGTGCCGGGTCTCAATAGCACAGCACCTCGCTGTTTGGCTCATTAGATTTCTTTTGGTTCTTAAGCCATTTTGATTTCCTGAATTTTCACGTTCATAAAGCAGTGATGGGATTATTTTGTGGATCACATCTTTTGTTATTGTTTTTTTCAAGCTCATGTCATTCATTGGGTCCAGTCTCTAATAATATTCTTTTGATGTTATTTTTCTCCAAGAGAAGATCATTTGCTTTAATCTATACACCAAAAGAAATTAAGCAATGGCGTGATGCTCGGCGTAAGAATTATCCAACGAAACTCAAGGTAGTGTCCCTCCCTCTCCCACCATCTTTGATTTGTTGAAATTCACTCCTTTGGCCAAAATTTTGAATGCTGAGTTACTTATTTGCAGAAATTAAAGAAAAATGCTTCAGACAGCATCCTTGATGAGGAAGCAACATTGCGTCGCCAGGTGCCCTTTATTTATGTTCACCCCTATATTTTTAAACATCTTATATGGTAATTTATATGGTCGTGGTAAACACACCACATTAATATAATATGGAATCAACTGGTAAACCTTAAGAAATTTCTCTTTAAATATCTTAGGAGTGAAAAGGAGATATAGCTGATCTGCTTTATGGTGTAAAGATATGAATACTAAAATTATAGTTTGGTAATAAGTAATCTTCGTGAAGCTCAAGTCACCATTAAGGCTGGCCAGAGCTATAGATGATGAAATTGCAGTCTCAGTAGCTTATTATGGTTTTTGTTTCGTTTTAAAGTTAAGGCTTAACAGAATACTCTGTCTAGTTAGATATTGAAAAAAGTTATGATGGTGAAAAAAGCATCTGTGCTCATATACTACGTGGAATGAAAGTCATGAGATTCATGGTTTTTCTATTGGGAAGTTTTAGGTGACACTGAAAGAGGTCAAATATCATTAGGCTTGTATAATATATGTCTTCAGTTAGCATTAACTTATCTTATATCGATTTATTTTTGTATTGCAGCAACTCCAGGAAGTTTTAGCAAAGCAGGCTGAATTAGGTGTTGAAGTTGCAGAGGTGCCTTCACATTATTTATCCAATACAGATGAACAAGTTAATGGAGATAGAGGAAACAACAGTGGAAAAAATCAGTACCAGAATGGGCAAAAGGGAAGAGTCCAGAATAATAGACATAATAAGCGAAGACATGATAGAAAAGATAGGTCTAATAAGAAAACAAGGTCTGAAGTCGAAAATTCATCCAAAGAATCTTCCATGATGACGAGAGAACCTACATTGCTTGAGAAGCTCCTAAGTGCAGACATAAAGAGAGACAAAAGCCATTTACTACAGGTCTTCCGCTTCATGGTAATCAATTCATTCTTCAAGGAGTTACCAGAACAACCTCTGAAGTTGCCTTTGATTATGGTTGAAGAAACTGGCTGTGAACATGCCAGGGAAGATCCTTTGACTGATGTTTTATGCGATGGCCTTAGTGATGATGACGATGACGATGTGAATGGTGATGATGACTCAAGTGATGAAGATTGATGAGTAATGTTTAAGATTGTATGATCAAAAAGGATTATAATGATTTGTGATATCAATATATGGTTGCCTTTTGAGGATATGTGGTCTGCATGAAACAGTGAGATAAGAATCTGATACATGAACGCTGAGAGTGACAATAAACACTAAGCACAAATCCTCTTAACCGGATTATAGCAATGTGCTTACAAATCTCCAACAAGTTGTACATGTTAAGATGCCAATGTTGTTATCCGGCTGAGTAGGAGAGACGTCGATTATTAACATTTAGTTTATCACTCGAAACTTGCTTCAAATCTATTAATTTTTCTTTCTTTTTACAAAACGTTTAAGAAAAATTCACAACATGATCAAACCTATTTACACACATATAGGACGACTACATGCAGATACCACGATTGATAGTATAACAAATTAACAAATCCTAAATCAAATATAAGAGATATATTTAAGATAAAATAATAATAATAATAAATAAATAAAAACTCTCAGAACCAATTCCATGGATGTTGAAACTCCTCACAACACCAATTCTTGAAATCACCATTTTTGCCAATCAACAAACCCAAATCATCAATCTCCAAAAGATCATCCATTTCCAAATACCCTGTTCCCTCTTCCACCTCCGGCTTATGCAACCTCTCTACGCCGCTACTATGAACCAACATACTCTCCTTATTGTCCGACGAGCCACACGATGATGACACGTCATGCTCCGTCTTCTTTTCTTGCCCCACAAGAAACCTAGACCAAGCTCCATTTGATAATCCATAATTCGGATTCACCCTCGGTTTCAACGTGGTCGAAAACGTTAATGAAGAGCCACCACCGCCACTCGCTGCATCGACACTTTCTTGACCTTTTGAATCACTTTGTTTAGGTAATAACCAACAGAGATTCGAATCACTTGAAGGCAAACATCGATCATAATGATGATCATCGTCTTCTTGTAGAAAACTCGATCTCCCTGACCAAGAACTTCGTGACCCACTTACCGGGCCGAGACCAAGGTCCAACCCACGAACAGTATCGAGCTTATAAGACCAAGAACCCGACCCGTGCCCCGAGAAAGACAAGTTCCTATTAACTACTTGTTGTTGCTGTTGTTGCTGTTGTTGTTGTTGTGGGTGCAACAAGTTGAGTTTAGCCTCGTGTCCGTAGAGTTTCTTAGCGGCTTCATCGTAAGCTTTGGCTGCTTCGACTGAAGTATTAAACGTACCGAGCCAGAGACGAGTCCCGCGGTTAGGCTCACGGATCTCAGCCACCCATTTACCCCAAGTACGTTGCCTAACTCCACGGAAAGTACAAGTGGCGTTCTCTGGACCGCCTTTACCTTTCATGCAACCTTTCCTAGATCTACCCATGTTTCGTTTCTTGGCCGGAGGTTGCTCTTCTTCCATGGTGTTCCCTTTCGAGAGTTTCAAATCTGGTTTAGTTCAATTCGTTAGAGTGGAATAAAAATAGAGTGCGTGTGTATATATATAAATACGTGGACACGTCATGAGTATGCGTATTTTTACGTGGCATATGTATATATGAGTTTGTACGTGTGTATGTGTATATATGTACACTAAGGTAAGGTTTTGTTTATTTGATTTTAATGTTTGTGCTACACGAAAGTGACCCCCGACCACTGTCTTGATGATGACTCACGCGTTTGTGTTTCTCTCTGAGCCCTTCTCCTTAAAAGTGGAAACTTAAACCTTTTACAATTCATTATATAATATATACTAGTATATAAACATTGAAATTCTCGACCATTTTTTTTTTTTTGGTAATGGTCCGAATGAATGTTACATGTTAATATGTTTTAGATGTTGTTGTTAGAAAGTATCCATCCGATCTATATATGCATGTGTATGATCTCTTTTCTACAAAAATGTCTTATTATTACTTTTATCTCTTTTTAACATCCGAAAACTTTTTAAAACTATTTAAACCACAGCAAATTTACTATACCAAACCAGATAAAATTACTAAATCTTCTCCAAATAGCTCGAGTCATATCCATGTGTCTTTTTCCTGGTAATACTCTGACAAATCACGATTCTTGGGGTTTTTCGTTTCTAGGTTTTACTTAGGTTTTAAGTTTCACCGTTTGTTTTTGGATAGGAGTAACATTTTAGTCTAAAATAATTGAAAATGTATATACGTAGATGAGAAAATGGAATATGTCAAGCTTGTAAGCCACGTGTTAAGATCGAGGAAGGTCTGGCAAACACCTCGGAACACATGGCTCAACCATTCATTAGGTGCTTCGGCTCGAAGTATCTATTTTTACACCACTACTTATAAAATTCCTCTGTTTTTATGTTTTCACGTATTCAGTCGTATATATCTCTTGTCGATACAATATAAACCATTGTATTTTTTAAGCATTTCTGAAAAGACTTTCTTGCCTTGATTTTACTTATTTATAAAAGCGAAAAATGCAAAAATGTCACAATTATATTATTTATTATTGGAAAAAAGTTAGTGTATTCTATTCTTCTATATTTTGGTTATGCGTGGATTGTATTATGACACAGTGTACATTTATTAATATATACTTGTACACAATTACACATATATAACCACAGTAATCAACATTTTTTTTTTAATTGTCAAAGTACACTGATCAACATTCTATGATCTATCATGGGATTTTGTAGGCAATGTATTATTTTTTTACTCTACATTGACAAAATAGTTAAAATATATATACAAAAAGTTCTTCGACTTCTTTACGATCAAATAATGATTTAAACTCTGAACATTGTGATTAGATTAGCCAGTTGAATATGCTGTCAAATGGAAAGATTTAAAACAAAAAAAGTGTTGACGATGTAAAAAGCATATAGAATACATATAAAGATTTTCGTAGAAACGAATCATTTACTAAACTATCTTCCTACGTACATGAATATTCAAGATATCTTGTGAAATCTTTTTTATGCCATCGACTGTTTTTATTATTTCGGCACCTAACTCAAACTATATATTATACAAGTAGTATATAGCGAGAAAGATGAATGAGGTAAAGTTGCATGAGAAAGAGCAAGTGTGAGATAGCAAGAGGTGGCACTGGCGATGAGTGTCACTCTTACGTCGTTGAGAGTGCGACACTTGTATTCTTCTTTCCCCCCCTACTTCTTGGAAAAGTTATAATAAACTCATTTGGACTCTTGGAAACCTTAAATTATAGAGGATCTCCGTATCTATATTTTCTGTTTCAAAATTTCAAAGGAGTTATATAATTTTTCTTTTAAAAAGTTTAGTTTATAAACATATCATGTATAAGATACAACACCACAAAGTAATTTCACTAAATTTTGTTCCCTGGATTCTCTTTATTAATAAACTCTTTTGACCTTTTTATTATTATTGAAAAAAAGAATTTTTGATTGAATAACAACAATATGATATCTAATATTTTAAAATCATCAATCCGATAACCCACATTTTGACCATCAGCTAACACAAATCGTTTTGTTTTGGAATTTTGGATCAATTGATATTAGCCAATCCAATAAGTTCCTTGTATATATCGATAAGGGAACTTGTTTTTTTGGTCCGCTTAGTATGTAGAATACGTTGTCGATGTTGGATCTTTTAGTAGATGTGAATATATGTGATGCCTTAATTTGATGGATCGATATCATATCATCGGTTTAGTCGAAGCATTGTCAATAAGTTAGACATGCTCTTTCACGAGAATGCACTTGATTGAGAGTGTTTTTGTACGTCTTCGAACATATTGTTTGGGCCTGGTTGACAGTAATTATATACGTACGAACTCAAAGAGGGTCTCTGATCTCATGATACGAGGCCCAAGTGATCCAACATATCCTCCTCTCCAACAATGCATCATCATGTTGTCCATCTTAAACTGATTCCGAGTCATATATATTGCCACGTTCATCAATACAAATATTATCGGGACTTGCCACGTCGACCAGTTTTCCGATTACATGTAATTCTATAAACAATAAAATAAAAATATTATTATTCAAAATTTTATGATAAAAAAAAAAACACTAAATTTTTTTATGTACAAACACTTTAGTAACATATAATTATTAATCCAAAATTGACGAGGGTTCCGATAGTCCAAAATTTGAAAAATGTGTATCTTCCATGAATAAAGTAGAATTTAGGGAAAAACGAAAATAATTGATCGCTGTCAATAGTCACTATGTATTGAAAACTGCAGAACTAACATCAAATCGTGTTGGTAATCGTTGTCAACAACGCCAAAGTGAACAAAGACATCAATCAATATATGTGATTTTGTCCCGTAGTTTACTAATGCTTGAAAGCCCCCCTCATGCCATGTTATACTAACATTTCATTTAAAGTTAAAACTGCTAATTAATGTTTCTTTTTATATGTAAATCTCGACCTGGTTTATATTGTATCAAACTAAAAATGCATATTTTACTATAAAATTTTTGAATTGACGTCACATAAAAAAAAAAAGTAGTAGTATCATTGAAGTTATACGTAAAAAAAAGGGTGTTATGGTAGTTAAGAACCTGAATCTGGCTACGTCGTAGCAAGGAAGGTTCATACTAATCGCATAATGCATAATGCATTACTTAATTTAGTATCACTAATGTATACATTCAACTAGTTTTAAAAATCAGACGAAGTAGACGCATCTTTACTTGGGATTGGAGCATCATTATAAATTTATAATAACCTGTTGTTTTCGTTATCCTTGACCATCGGATGAAGATACATATTTAATTCTTAATGTTATCTAATCCAACAACCTTTCTTTCTGTAAATTCATATGCAATGTTATGATAATGTATCACAAAAATTTAAAGTACACTAGTCACGTATATCTTATATATAGTTTCACTTTCACCCACGCGAACATTGATTACAAATATGTATGCACAGATGTGTAACGCTTTTAAACCCCTACATATATTAAGGTTTTGAAAACTTATATAAGTGTTCAAGATGTATTTTACAAGCTTTACAAAAAGTTATAAAAATTATTGTCTATAATAATACAGCATATTGATTTCTAGATACTGAAACTGATCGTTATTCTTGAACTGATCACACTCGAACCAGATATATTGATTGACCCCATTTGAGATATACCTATAAAATTTTACTAGATCAGTCATGGACCACTTTAATAAAACGGTCCACTGTGATTATATAACACTTGATATCATTTTTGTACGATCGACCTATAACACTTAACATCTTCTTGAGAAATAATTTGTTTGGCCAGTAAGTCAAATGAGGAAACAACTGCATTATACGTATCTTTTTATGAAGCTAAAAGCTTTCATCCTTTAAATGTAGTTTAATTCAAGTTGTATCTATTAGAGAGATAATGTAGCTTGCTTTCTTGATAAACTTCAATCTGAGTGTGGTATTCGTATTCGGAGTGAAAAGAAAGCAATATTCATGTAATTACTATACCATAGTTTAGTCTGTTATTTTTTACTTTTAAATGTCTGAAAGTTTATATAAGCAAAGCTATTTTTTGACAAGTTGTATAGGGGAAAAGCTAATCATGTACAGAAAAAAATATTGAACGATATTTCAAAAAAATTGTTACAATCGTACTGTATATATACAACAAAGTAAATTTTTATGTATTAAAATACATATGTAAACTGTGTAACGATTTTATACATAAACTAAAAATTTTAATACGTTGCTCATTCGGAAAGAAACGGGCATTGGATTAAATAACATATACTAGTTGTATTGTTGTTGGTCAACGAGATTAAATATTAGTATTAAGTAGCACAGAACAAAAAAAAAATGAACATGAAATTTAGAAAATGACAAAAAGATTACTAATTGATTATAAGTTTGAATTCAGTTGGTAATGATCATAATTCATTTGTTGAATTTGGTTCAGCCATCGCATTCACAGTGTGTGTACTTATAGTAGGCGCATATACCAAAAAAATAATAATGATATTTATAAAATCGGTGGTGTATGAGTACGCAATTAAAGAACGCCACGTGGGATGCAGTACCAAATTTTTTAGATGATAGTAACTTGAAAAAAGAAAAGCTGGATCGATTGAGAGACCCTCAAGCAAAGATACTAGAATACTACACAGCCATAAAGTTTAATTTTACTGAAATAAATAGTACTAAAAAGCCAGTCAAAATGATTACATAATTAGTATAATCATGTTACTAGTTTTGATCTCTGCCTCGTGCATATCCCACTAGCTAGAACCTTAATTAATTACTAGATCTTTGTAATATAAGCAATGTGTTGATCATCATATTATATTGAACTCCTACATACAAAAACAGTTTTACTACGAAAGGCAACGACCTCAACCATATATGTATCAAAACACTTTCTACTTTTGACTCCAAACTAAACTAAACCACAGCAACCTCAGCTCGTTCATTTTAAAAAGGGTAAACACAACTTTGGTTATGAATGTTACGTTGTTTATATATACAAATATGAAATATACAATTCACACGAGTCGAATGTACAAAGTATAATACTAGAAGGATGTATGTATACTCTTATATTTTTCGATAGTATGTATTTTCCCAAGTTTTCAAATTAAAAATTTTAGAAAGAAAAGAGATAGTAGTGACAGATGAAAACATTGAAGGAGTGTCATAAAAGGGAAGAAAGGTTAAGTTAGTTGGGTAGGTCTTCTCTTTCTCTCTATTGTATTTATTTGTAGAGTCTCCCTTTGCTTCTTTTTCATTTATTTCCCTTAGCTTTATATTAATCAATATTTGCTTTTAGTCTGTCTCACACACATGTATAAAATGAATATTTTCTCTCTTTTTTCTATATATATAAGAAAAGATAAGACAACAATTAAATCCATCTTTTTTTATATATATAAAGAAAATGAAACCAAGGCAGGGGCAATGATGAATCTTGATTTGATCTTCTTCTCGAAAACCTCATTTTGCTTTTGCTTCTTCTCTTCCATTTCCATATTTACACTTCATAATATCTCCTTCACCCACTTCTCTTCTTCCCCATTTATAACACACAGATAAATACATACACATACTTTAACATTTATATATATATTTTGGGCTAGCTATAGTAATCCTTTAAAATCTCTTTCCATTTTCTTGAAATGGTCCTCCTCTCATCTTACCTCTAGAAGAATCTGTCTGACCTTCTCTCAGTTTCCATTTTTCTCACTTTCTCGTTCTTCGGACACTGAATGTGATACACATACATAGGAGATTGATAAAAAGCTTTAAAAGATCGATCAATATAATGGAGGTTTTTGTTCGTCTTCCATCCAAGAGAAGCCTAATTCTTTTTCTTGTTATTATTGTAAGTCTCTCTTTGAGCCAGAAGGTCAAACATGTCTCTGCCTCTAACGACACTAAACCAATCAGACAAGTCAGTAGCTTGAGACTAGAGAGGATTCAAAAGCACTTGAACAAGATCAACAAGCCTCCTGTCTTCACCATCCAGGTTATATATTATACGTACATATGTTTCTAATTGTATTTGACTTGTCTAAATTAATTTCATCATTATGTGAAAATATATAACTTTTGTTGTTATCAAACAATAAATTACAGAGTCTAGATGGTGATGTAATAGATTGTGTACCCAAAAAGAAGCAGCCAGGTTTGGATCATCCACTCTTAAAGCATCACAAGATTCAGGTAATATATGTATATAGCTGACCACGCAACATTTTCTTTTATTTATTACTAACCATCAAATAGACAGTTTTCAAATTTTATTGAATAATTTAGCACTATTTGTTTAGGTAACTACCAATTAAAAATTCTGTGAATGACTTAAAAAATGATGTTGGTGAATTGGATGTGACAGTTGATAAATATAAGCATATTGTTTATCTTAATACTATATAATAGTACAAAAAATAAGTCGTTTGATTATGATAAAAGCCAATATTTTTTATCGATGAGATCAAGAAAGTGATTATGATAAATTTATGAATGCAGAAAGCACCGAAGAAAATGCCGAAGATGATGGGAAGAGATGATGTTAATAAAGAAGAAGAAGCAGCAGCAGCAGCGAATGTATTGGAAGGTGCATGGCAAATGTGGCACGTGAACGGCACGAGGTGCCCAAAGGGGACCGTTCCCATACGACGCAATACGATGAACGATGTGCTCAGAGCCAAGTCTTTGTTTGACTTTGGCAAAAAGCGACGGAGCATCCACCTTGATCGACGGACAGAGAAGCCTGATGCCCTCGGCACTAATGGACATGAGGTACACTCGATTATAGTCTCTCTTCTTCTTCTTCTCCCTTGGCCCTTCTTGGTTGTTGACGAATAGGACTATGAGAAAACATAATATTACATAGACAATTCACATAAACGTTGAGGAACTTATAGATAGTATATATACGCTCTATTCGTATATCAATGTTTATATATGTGAATTGTCTATGGAATCATTTAATTATGGACCCATATAACAGCTTCCATTGTCAGTCTCATTAATTAAATATATAAAAACATAAGCATTCAATGGATTTTAAGATCCGGTCTCGTTATCATAATAATTCTTGAAACATACAACTATCTTACTAAAAGATTAGTAATCCATTTCATACGCATATATTGGGATCATGAATATGATTTAGAAGTTAATGATCGAAGTATAATAATAATAATAATTAAGACTAATTTGTTAATGATTTATGGTTGGGGGAAATGATAGCATGCGATAGCGTATACGGAAACATCGTCGGAGATATATGGAGCAAAGGCGACGATCAATGTTTGGGATCCAAAGATAGAAGAAGTGAATGAGTTTAGTCTCTCTCAGATTTGGATTCTCTCTGGATCTTTCGTCGGTCCTGATCTCAATAGTATAGAAGCTGGGTGGCAGGTACTGTGTTTTATTCCCATGATAACATTAAATCTTGTTTAATTTACTTTTTCATAAGAAAGGATTATATCTAAAGCTGTCATTGTTCTACTAGTCAGGTCAGTCCGGAGCTGTATGGTGACAACAGACCAAGATTGTTCACTTATTGGACGGTACGTTGTTGTTACTATTTGTTGATTTTACATATTATGGTGCTAATCACTTTCAGTTAGTTATTTAAATTCAAGAAATAAAAAAAAAAAAAAAAATTCAAGAATTCTAGACCTAAGATTATAATTCATAGAGAAGAAGATATAGATAGATAAGAGTTTAATTAATGTTTTTGCTTTTGAGGACATTCATGTGACAGTGGAGTAGTTTTCCAATGTGTAGTTCAGTGTCTAGTTTTGGTATATAGATTGTATTTACAAAACTACCAAATATTGCTTTGAAGGCAAACTTCCAATATTACTTTAACATTTTTGTATAAACATACTTTTTCTTTTTCTGAAACAGAAATTTAATCATCTACAAAATCAGTGATACTACTGTGCATGAAAATTATGATAGGGTAAAATCGAAGGTAATATATGCCAAAAAGATTAAAAATTGAAGGTTGCTTTCAACCTTGTGGTATTTATTCTTATACAGGTTCCTTTAATGTGTAGTAGTAGTAATAGTAAGTATTGATCATTTCGAAGTTAATGGTAGAAGAGAGTTATCATGATAACGTTTGGTGTAGAGCATTTAATATTTTGCATTGATAGCTTTTTATTATGGAGTATCAATTGGATTGATGATGAAACCACCAGTCCAATTTCTGTACTAGTCTCCAAATCATTAAATTTTTGGTTCTGCCCTAAAGCTAGAAATAGGATGCACATATCTACACATATTTTTGGTTGTAAGTTTTGTAAATATATGTTAATTAGGTATTTATTTTGATCAACTGGTTTGGCAATAATTTTGGGTTTTCATTTTATTTTCCTTGAGCGTATCCTAAACTAGCAATGTATTTTCCTTTTTTTGTTTGGTATTCTAAAAGAGTGATTCATATCAAGCAACGGGATGTTACAATCTTCTATGTTCTGGATTTATCCAAACAAATAACAAAATTGCAATTGGAGCAGCCATTTCTCCTCTCTCTACTTTCAAAGGGAACCAGTTTGACATCACAATTCTCATTTGGAAGGTTCGTCTCTGTCTCTTTCTTAAATATGCATGCATGTACGCGTTCACTCTAATACTGTGGATGTTACATCTTGGATTTGATCTGAACATGAGTAAAATGAATGTCACTCCATTCATTTCATACTATATTTAGCAATGATATAAGTAAATATATTTTTGAACAAATGAACTTTCTTAAATTATATTAGCATGATAAATATGGCAGGATCCGAAAATGGGGAATTGGTGGATGGGATTAGGGGACAACACGCTAGTCGGGTATTGGCCAGCCGAGCTATTCACGCACTTGGCCGACCATGCGACCACCGTGGAATGGGGAGGTGAGGTTGTGAACACGCGTGCTTCAGGCCGGCACACGACGACTCAAATGGGTTCGGGTCATTTTCCGGACGAAGGGTTTGGGAAAGCAAGTTACTTCCGGAATTTGGAGGTCGTGGATTCGGACAACAGTCTCGTACCGGTGCATGACGTCAAGATATTAGCCGAGAACACAGGATGTTACGACATAAAGAGTTCGTATAGTAATGAGTGGGGAACTTACTTTTACTATGGTGGACCGGGGAATAATCCTAGGTGTAATTGAAATCAAAGTGTACATAGTTGGGGCTGGGGAGAATGGTGGAAAAAAAAAAAAGAGAGTATCGAATGTGTAATTTTTTCTCTAAAGGATGGGTAGTGAAAATTGAATATTATTTGGCTTATTGTTGTTGGGGTTTAAATCTAGTAATTTATTATTGCATTCATAGGAAAAAAAACGAATGAGTGTATGCAATAATGAGAGTATGATAACAAAGTTTATATGCTTTCTAAAATTTGCGTTAAATCTCAGATCTAAATTAATCGCCGTTACAATTCAGAAGAAGAACAACTTGAGTATAAAGATATGTGTGATTGATCCCCACTTACAGTGTGATAACACTTCTAGTGTGTTGGTTGGTTGGCTAAGTGCTTACACCAAGAGATTTGAGTTCAAACTTCAAAATATACAAATTCATTTTCTAGGTTGTTATTTCAGTATTACAAAACGGATTACAGAGACCCCAAAAAAATATCATGATCCAATGTACTTGAACTTGGAAATATATATACTTTGTTGTCAAAAACATTTGTAATGTAAACACTACGTACTACATATAGAAGACGAAAAAAGAAGTCATAAACGTCTTAGAGAGACGTATGAATCGAACTTCATGATATTTCGATTACCTAAAAAGATTTTTAAGGAAAAAGTGTGTGTGGAAGATTGCATTACACGTTGAGATTCGAAGACTTGGGAAATTATTACTTTTAAGTCGTTAACGTCGATGCTTGAATTGGAATTAGTGATAGACCATCATCATCTCATCATAATTAATCGGCCACAAGCACACAGACAGACCCCACGAGGCCACGACGCGTTTTTATTTTCCACACCACTATGACAAAGCTTCGACCATCCCACCAATACATTACTTCCAGAGATGAAGATTGGGTTTAACCTAAGAACCAAGAAAGAAGTTTCAGTTACTTCTTGGATAAGTGACCAGTTCCCAGTCTCAGGAGCATTCAGACTAGGACTAGACCGATCAGGAGCTAACCAGTTACTCGTCTGGCGCCACTGTGAAATCTACTGGTCCAGTGAAGCTCTCATTTGACTTTAGAGCTATCCAGACGCTACATTGATTATGAATTCAAGTTCGATTAAGAAAGGTAACAGTTCGGTCTTGCCCAGCTGGTTCTTGGATACTCTAGGCCAAATCACTGTAACCAATGTGGTCAGCAGCAGCAATAGCAGTAACTGGATTTCCGAAATCAGTGAACCCTGCAAGACGGATTCAAAGAACAGCTCAGCGATCTGCATCACGGAGAAGCCAACAGCCTGTAGGCAAGGGTCGTAGTATTTCAAACCAAGAAGAGGATACATGATGGATAGTGGCTATTTTGATGGTGATAGTTTGAACACTGGTCTTAGCGACTGCCATGGAAGCTGCCGGAGAAACTGTTCTTGCATTGCTTTTCAAACCTTTTCTAATGGACTTGGTTGCCAATATTGGGGAAAAGGGTCAAAGTTTGTCCCTTATGATAGCTTCAACTTCAAATTAATAACTTATGTCCTTGATTTTGTACAGTGATGAGTGGTTGGAAGAGTAACTATGTAACCAAACCAATATCAATAAAGGGCATTATCAAGCAACTAAAGAATCAAGAAGTTCAAAGACATGCACCAACTTCCTCTCTCTGCAACTTGATTCAACCACAGCTCTCCAAGAACTGGGCTCTGGTTGGAGACCTATTTTCAGAAATCCAATCAGAACTCGAACCCCCATTTCTGCATTCCCGGATCCGCAAAGCCGAACCACCAACTCATTCCATGTCGCATGGTGAGGCCACATCCCTCTCTCCGACATCACACTCAGAAACTTTACCGCTTTCTCGAGCTTGCCATTGTGACACAACCCATTCAGTATGATCCTATAACTACCTTTGTCCAGATGAACTCCTTCACATCCCCATTGATCCAGCATCTGAAGAGCTTCTTCAGATCGTCCTTCGCTGGATAAGCCCTTGAGTATTACATTACAAGTTAATGCATCAACTCTGCACCTGGATGCTTTCATTTCTCCAAGTAACTTCATGGCCTCATCGATTGCACCATTTTTACAGAGGCAGTTCATCAATGTGGTATAACCAACCGTGTCGAGTCTCAGCCCAACTTCCTTCACCTCGTTAAAGATTCGTTTAGCTTCCTGAATATTTCCCTCTTTACAGAATCCATTCATCAGAGCTGAGTAATTGTATACATTTGGGTTACATCCATTCTTCTTCATGAAGTCTAAAATCATCTCGGCTCTCTTAACTTCCCCTGAACGACAGAATCCGTTAATCATAACGTTGAAAGTCACAGGGTCTGGCAAAATCCCTTCTTTTGAGATCATATCCTCGAACAATTCCACCGCTTCTTTGGACCTCGAGTGTGCAAACAGACAGTCCATAAGGGTTGAGTAAGTAATCGAATTGGGATACGAAATTCCAGATCTTTTCATCTCCTCCACAACTCGAAATGCAGAATCAATATCCCCATTCTTGCAGTGGTGCTTCACTAGAATATTGAAAATGCAAGTATTTGGCTGCAATCCAAGGTTATGTTTGGCATACAAGAGGAGGTTCCGGGCCAAATTAATCTCCCCTGCATCGATAAGGAGATTGAGACAAGTGCTAATGGATTTGAGAGAAGGTTTCACACGAGCAATCACTTGAATCAAGTTAAACATGTCCATCACTTTATCATGCAAATCAAACCTAGAGAAATGTCTCATCAGGTTAAGAAACAAACTTTCCTCGAACCTACAAGTCTCGTACCTCATCTGATGAAGAATCGCATCAACAGCTAGAAACTTCTTGTGCCTAACGAGATTATCCAAAAGAACAGAGTATGTAGCATTGTTATGGTTAAAACCTTTCTGTTGAGAAGCTCTGTTAAATATATCAAGCGAACGCTGAGGATCTCTCTCTCGTCTCATCAATTCGATAGCAGATGCGTGAGAGATAAACTTGGTTTTGGGGTTAGTTTCCAATGGTGAGATTGAGGATTCGGGTGGTGAGTTTGGTTTCTTCATTTTATCCGAGAAGCAAATGGGAGATACCCATGATCGTGACGACGAATAGAACCGGCGATGTTCATTGATTATCGAAGTTGGGAAGCGCATTGTATCTCCTCTGTAATCAAGAGAAGAAGAAGACTGAGTAATTAGGTTAAGAAAATAAATACTTGGAAAAGAAGAACAAAGCTGCTTCCTTTAAACCTAATATAATCGAGTTCGTATTCAAATGAACATGAAGAATCAATCAGAGATTATATATCATATTGAACAAGCTTACCTTACTGAAGTGACCGCAACACCGGAGGGAGCAATAAGGTTCAACTTCGATGCAAGTTTTGATTTTTAAATCGAATCTCTAGGATGAAGCTCTTGTGAGTTTACTGAGAAACCGAAGCAGAACTGCGAAATCAAACTTTAAACTCATCGGAGATGTTGGGTTGCCGACGATGGTCCGGTTTTATTAATTCAATTATTAAATCTTGGTCGGTACGGTTCGGACAACAAATGTTTTTTTTTTTCACAACAAATGGTTTAACCCACAGTCATGTTTAAGCCGCGGTTTACTTTGAAATGTCTCTTCTCATCTTCTTATGGTTCTTGATGGAATCATGTGTTGTTATTTTAAGCTAAATAAGCTTTAGAAAGATGATTAGCCCACTAATGGGATCTTCAGTATTAACAATAAAATCTGTACAAATGTAAAAGAAGAGAAACGGCAACAATACATGATGACAAAGAAAGAACAAAGCTACAAAGCTGTAACCATTTCAAGACAGAGCTACAATGACTCAGGATTATAGGCTAGAGTGTTTCTGCAAGTTACAATGGTGACACATTTCTTCAGGTGTGTTTTGTTGTTGTTCTTGTTGTGTCAACAGAGGAAACAAAAGGAATTTGATCTCATCGTGTCACGACGGTCTTCTAGACCTTTCAAGAACCATCTGATTGCGAGGTGCTCTGAAGCATAAGTCATGAAGGCAGCTAAAATTATGGCTACACCCACCATTAGACCCAACCTGTTCAATATGTAGTGAATCAGCAACTATAGATTCAATCATGACAAATCTTAGAAGAGGGATCAAGTCAAAGTATAAGGATTAATCATCAATAACAAGAACCATTCTTAGCAAGTTTATTAAGAAACTTTACCTTGTAAATAAAGCGGTAATCCCTAAAATGTAAGGCAAAGAAACTGCAGCAATAGCCAGAAAAGCCATCCCTAATCCATAATAAAATGTAGTAACATCACAAGACACACCTGCTCGCTGATGACCTGTTGACAAAACAAAGGTGGAAATCACTATTCTTACTTCTCAACTTAGTAGAGAATGGTACAATTTCCGATCATCACAGTTTTTTTTTTTCTCAGGACCATACCTTTTGCAGAATCATCCAAGGACGAGGATTCTATTTGTATTGCTATTTTCTTTCCATGTTGATGTACAAAAACTAAGAAGCCACCAAACAAAAGACAGAAGATTGTAAAAGTCCATTCATACACCAAGATCAAGCCAGTCCCTGGCATGATTTGCCTCGGCACAATCGCAAAGGAAATTCCAAGAGATATCAGAACAGAAGTAAGACAGACTACAACTGAAACTGCCCCTAAGTGTTGAGGAACCTTGGACAGTGTGCTGCCACTGTGGGGCTGTAGACAGAAGCAATAATAACATTGTTCAAATTAGATCAAATTTTTAATTGATGACAAAAAAAAAAAAAGATCAAATTTTTAAAAAAAGTCAACCACAACAATATGATGTTGAAACTCACTTGATAGCTGGGATTCATGGTAGATACACCGCTATAACCAAGTGTTGCATTAGACCTGATTTTGTAATAAAGAGATCTAATTAACGAGCTCCAGCACAATGAACCCTCGCGACCCTGCAAGAAAATCAGAAAACATAAATTAAATTGTGATCCAAAAATGATGAATGTAGCAGAGATGAAGGCACCAAAGAATCTTAACCTGAATGGATCGGTAAATGCAGAACAATAGCACACAAAGAGGTAACAAGAAAAGAAACTTGACAACGAGGTCATCATGTTGGTTTTTGCCACCTCCAGTTCCAGGAAGAGTTTCCTCAAGCTTTACCCTAATGCTCTGAAATTGTTCTTGATGAAATCAGACTAAAAGAAATTCACTCAAAAGAAACCTTAAACCCATAGAGAAGAAGAAGACCTACTTGCCAAGCATCAACAGGTTTTACGAGCCATGCTGTCCACCAGTCCCAAGGCTTAAGAGGGCCTAGAGTGTAGTGAATAACGTGAAGTTTACTGTCATCCACCATCCACTGCAGAAATAATGAGAAAACTCAAGATTCAAACAGCTGAATAAAATGATAATTATACCTTGAACAAATCAAAACCAATCTCAAATTAACCAGTACACATTCAAAGATCACATCGATTTCATAGTAAGCCATAGACTTTAACAGCAAAATGAAAAACAGAACCAAAGAGACACCACAAGCCTAACTACAAACTTTTTTCCTAAGAAAATACCTTATTAGCAAGCATATAAAGACCAACATCAGCGTTATATAATGTTGAAAGCCTCTCCATAGCAGGAACTGGTCTGGTTTTCAAGACTTCAGGAGTTACACTAGGATCAAAAACACGAGCGTTTTGGAAATCTGGATAGTACGAATTCAAGAACCCTTGGTCTCCTCCAGTATAAGACGACAAAGTCTTCACTTTTCGCATCATATCATTGAAAAGAGCTTCGGATGGTTCAACAACCATGACACCAGAGTTTAGCCTCTCAGAATGCTTCAAGTTTGCGCAAAACTTCGAACATTTAAACAGATCATCAATGTTCTTTACCACAATAGTATCAGCATCAAGATAAACAACTGCACAAAAAGACAAATATTTATGAGATTCAAGTTCTGGAACCAGAATCCAAAAGAAAAACCGCAGAAAGCTCCTACCTTTCTTATAATCAGTCATGTTAAAGATCTTAAGCTTTGTGTAAACACCCCAGAACCTTGTTGGATGAACTTGGTTTGGATTCGCCAGTAAACTAATCTTCTCTACCTTCCATCCATCAGCCTGAAGAATCAAAAATACAACAAAAGTAAACACCTTTACACAAACCAGTGAGCGTTATGTTGATCAAATTCAAGCTCAAACTCAATTAAAAAGAGAAGCTTTGTTTTAGATCAACGAACGTCAATAACTAGAGAATTAAAAAAATCAAAACCAAACTGTGAGTGTGGAAAAGAGAATTGCCCCAAACCTTGAGTAGCTTTTTAGAGTAATCTGAGACACCATCAGAGACCAAAGCGACCATATCTTTATCGGATCCAGTGTCACGAATCGATTTACCTAATACCCTAACTCCCAATAAGAATTCGTCTCCATACAAAAGCGTGACATAAGCTTCTTCAGATCCAAACGAACCCTTTAACTGAATTGAAACGAGCGTGAGGAGAAGAACCCAGAGACTCGCCTTGAGTCTCACCATACTTGTTCGGATCTCAATTGTCTCTGAAAAAAATTCCTAATTTAAGGAAAGTAAGTATACGTTGAATTGAATTAGATTTTGAAATTTCTTCGTTATTCTTTCTTTTGGAATTTTTATGCTCATTTGCTGTGTCTTGGCTCAACTTAAACTTTGTTCCTTTCACCGCCGTCGTTTTAGAATCCGATTTGAGTTTTTGTAACCTACGACCAAGTCTACCACAACTTATCCTAGATATCCCAACGTTGAGTCTTGTAACGACGTCGTTCCAGTAAATGTAACAGGCTATAAAGCACATGTAACATGATCACTAATCAGATTCAAAAACATGACAACTTTTATCACTTAGGAATCTATCTGTCCCACATTGTGCAATGAAACCAACAAATATAGACATTATAATTTTTTGGTGTGCTGATTTTTTTCAGCCATTCAACTTTACAAGTAACAATGTAACATCATATAACTACACACTATTACACAAAAACACTTGGCAAAAGTTTTACTGAAACAGAGGAGCTCTGTTTTTTCCCCAAAGCCATGCAAGGAAAAAGAAGACTTCTTCATTCCAGCTTACAAAACCAAAGCTTTCAACACATTTCATCTCCCACCCAATTATCCTTCTCCTTTGGTCCCGTAGGACCTTCCTCGCCGTAAAGCTCAATAGGAAACAGACTCTCAAAAGAATACCTCAAAATCAGAGGAAGAAGATCAATGATCTTGTTGATCTCAGCTGCAGAATCGTACACTATAGTTGGTCCCCATTCTCTCATGAACTGCAGCCAGCACGGCTCTGAAACCGCTCCTTCGCCTAGATACTCCGCTGCCACTATCATATACCTTTGACTAGAATCCACCGCATACTTGCTTTTAGCAACATCGTTTCTCACTCCAATCCCGAGCTTCGACGAGCCTTGGAGATACAGTCCCGGGTGCGGGAAACTCGCGTGCCCGTGTTTAGACGAGTACACAACTGGTTTGTTGCTTCCTTTGACAAACTCAAGATCCGATACATCAACCCATCCTCCACCGCTATGCTGTGAGAAGTACATTTGTGAAAGTTCGCCATTGAAGTTACTTATCCGGAATGTGAAATGTTCCCAATCACCAACATGCTCTCCAACGCGGTTCATGGGGACGGTGAGAAGCCCGATTTTGAGTGTGGCCGGGCCATTAAATGGACAGAAGATCCACATCACAATGTCAGTGAAAATCCCGCCAAGCGCGGGTTTCACATGGACGTAAAGCTCTGAGCTCTCTATATTTCCCTTCTTTATATTACTTCTAACTTCGTCGTCTTCAGGGAGATCAATCCAGAAGCCCCCGTCGTTTTCTCCACCCGCAGGCAAATTCGAGCCATCAGAGTTAATCGGTTCGCCTTGTGATGCCCCAAACCGGTACAACAAAGCTCCGTTTTTAAAGAACCATGGCACGGAAGAAGGCAAGTAAGTCTCCTCGGGATGGAAGTAAACCATCGGTCCATAATGCTGAATAAGTGCATGGACCTGGTCAAGATTCGGCATCCCATGTAAGCTCGGATCAAGATTTTTCAAACAGGCAATGTTCATGGAGGATTTATTATCAGAAGACCGATCACTAGTGGAGCAAAAGAATGACCCAACCGCCACTCCTCGAGACCAAATCCCTCTCTCGCAAGGTTTAGTGCTCCAAACATTAAAAGATCCCACGCCAAGAACCTTCTCACCGGTTTCACAACTCTCGGTAAGATCCTCTCTTACACATCTCACTTCATCAACCTCAGGCTCCTCTGATCCGTCAGTGACAATAACTCCCACGGCTCTGTAGCCAGCCGGAGGATTAGGCAACCAGAAGTAGCAATCTGAATCTGAACTCCAAACTAAAGAATAGTTCAGTGGTTTTTTCAAGGGAGGACGATGATCATCCGCATTATTGTTAGCCCGAGCTGCAAGAACAAAGCCTCTTAATGGCTGATTGTTTGGCTGGCAGTAATCACCAAGGCAATGGAAACCATCAGGTATCCCCACAGGTTTGTAAAAAGAGGCGCATCTCGTTTTACCACGGGACGTGCCACATTGCCAGACTCTATCAAACTTGGTTACTTTCACCACTTCGATCTCTCCAAGATTTATCCTTCCGGTAGCAAAACCACTGCCTGAAAACAAAGACTAACCAACATTAGAAAGAAATATTCCAATCAAGATAGTTTGACAGCATTTAAATTAAGCAAGAGGAATCATAACCACTAATAGAATTATCAAACTTTAACATCATCAACCATTACTCAACTTTATCCAAAGGGTAGTTGGCACTTAAGACATAAAGAAGAATCAAAACATATCGAATCAAAAGTAACAACAAACACACAAAAAAAAACATAAATAAACAATGCTTGAATGGAAGTATACCACATCCATCCATATTTGTTGGAGCATTATTGCTCACATTATTGAAGCTCACGAAAACCATATCCAAATTATACAACATGTGAAGATTAATTGCACATAAAGGTCAGAAACTAATAACGTTGATTGGTACACCTTTTTTTTTGCTTCAGTTCCATTAAATGTTCACTGAGTCCAAAATAACTTTGACCATGGAACAAAATATCTTGAATCTCAAATTGTCAAACAAAGGAACAGGTAAACCAATGTTGAATATTCAAAACGAACTAGTATTTTAGAAAAAGGAAAACTCAAAGATTAAAACATTAGTTTGGTTCTGATGTATGACTGATCATAATCAATTGTTTTGATAAACTAAAGCAAATTCAAGAAATTAATAAATGTTTATGACATAAAAAAAAAAATTGAAATGAGAACTACTTTTAAAACATGTACTTATGTAATAGTATACCACTTGGATCTTTGATGGAAAACACTAGTTTGGTTTTGTAACAAAATTATGCAAAGCTAAAAGTAGAAATTGCAATTTCCAAGAAAAAGGATGGTTCTCTGAACTAGTTTTACCTCCTTGAGGCCATGGAGGAAGAGGCAAAGGAAGGGAGAAAGGCTTTGACTCGTAGGATTCAGATTCCAACTCGGAGACTCCTTGGTTCCAATAGAAGCAGCAGTCGCAAAACATCCTTTATCTCTGAGACAATATCGACGACTGTTTCTTCCGGAGGCTGAAGGAAACTCCCAGGTCACTGTCAGATCGGAGCTTATCTCTTCTTCTACGGCGAGGAGAGAAAAAGAAGGAGATGGGAGAAAGATAGAGAGAGAGAGAGAGTACAACTTGCGTGTGAGAGAGGGGAAGTTCAATGGTGGTGATGGTGTGCTTTGCTCCTTTTTTTTTTTAATTTTTTTCCATGCTTTATTCTCTTTCAGTTATTGTCCCTTTCTTTATACGTTTTCTATAAAGACCCCTTTATTTAGAAATAATTCAAATTTCGCCCCATCCAAAGAAAAAACAAATGTTAAAAGACAATATTTTACTACTCGTTTCTTTCAACCAAATATTTTTACATTGGTTTATGGGTAATAACTGTCGGGCGAACGAGAATTTCATACACGTCTTTTCAGAAATTTGTATGTTATAATAAAATCTCGAGCTTCTACTAAGGTTTGTTTTTGCTGCTAATCACTTATTTTATTTTGTTTGTTTTATCCGCAAAACAAAAACAATGCTTAGAAGTTCATATTGTAGTGGGGGGGTTGGATTTGTATTTTCTAAAATATCCCCATTTCAATGTATTTTGGCAAGTTCCACTATGTCGTGTTTTTTATAAGCAACAGATATATTAAAAAAAAAAAAACTACGAAAGCATTCTACCAAACACAAAAGTTGTAGATAAAGAAAGATATTCGGAGATAGTGAAAACATATCTATAGGCTCGGTCGATGGATATGACGAACAAATCATCAACACTGATGATTTAGTTGTTTACGATATAACTAGATGATCACTCACACTAGTTTCAGACAAGAACTACTGTAGTAACTGTCGACCGTTAATCTTTTCTCATGGGTTGGCTAGTCAATCAAAACTAGTGAAAATGGAATCATCAACTTTATGATTCCAATGTTTCATTCACCCATTAACACGTACTAAAGAAAACATTATGTCATTTTCATCAATATGTGTCATGGGAGATTTATAAAATACTATAAAAATTTTCAACATGAATCGAGCCGCCTAGTTAGACTTTGGACATCATTCTCTTCTTTTTCAGCTTGGACTTTTTTAATGCTGAAATGTGAAAACTATAACTCTCTATATAAGATGGGTGGAGAATGGTGAATCTGATGATCTGATGTATCAAAATAAATAGGCTGCTTTTAAGTTGAGTATAACACTCGTACTATCACATGCATTGAAAAATCATTAGGTCTATGTTTCCTTACAAATATATATATATATATATATGTTTATAAAGGTCCCATTAATAAAGTTTTATTTTAATCTAACTCACCTCTTTCATTACTTATTTTTTTCTTTCTATTTCCATCCTAAAAACTCCCAGTGAGATTATTAACATTCATGTTTGGAGAGATAACAAAACACATCAGACGTTTCTTTCTTTTACATAAATAAAACCATTTAAATGGCATTAATTTTGACATTTATTTATAAGTAAACAACCCCCAAAATATGAAAAAAAAACACTACATTTGTTCAACAAGTTTATAATTAAAACAAAAAGTAAATGAGTTTTATTTTTTTGTCAACGAGTAAAATTAGATTTAGTTTGGCATTCCCCTTTTTAGTTACAGTCTGTCAGTTACTTATACACGTAAAAAAAACAATGTAACCTTTATATAGTGAGTCTTCTTGTAGACAAAAAAAAATAAAAAAAATTGAGTCTTCTTCAAACTCTTTTAAACTTTTTAATCCGTCTTCACAAAAAAAAAAATGGAAAAAAAGTCTTCACCTTGTTTCGTCTTCGTCGGTCGTCACTTTTGCTAGCTAATAAAAGCCAGAATAAATAATTGGATTATATCTCTTTTTCCTTTTATTTTTGTTACTGTTTTTGTTATTATCATTGGAACACAGCTGCAAGGGTAAAGCTTCAATCTTTCCCACTCACATTCATTTCTGGTCTTTGATTTTTTTTCTTTCTTTCTTTTCACTGCTTATGTTCTTGTCTGTAGGTTAGAGATCCTCACAAAAAAAAAGATCCAAAGCTAGAAACTTTCTAGTCAATGCTGCTTAAGATCTGACTTTTTCCTTCAATGTCGCTCTGAAACCCCCCCCCCCCCCCCCCCAAAAAAAATTTTAGGCCATCAGGTTTGTTCTCCTTCACTTTACAATCCTAGTTGTAATTATTAGTTCTTTGTGTTCAATGCTTGAGTTTCTCAAAAATCTCTTTTTGGTGTTCTTTGGTTTCTGTTTATCAGACAATGCGACGGATTTATGAGTTTCTGAATAGTTTCTATTTGTCGGTAGAGTTTTTTCTAGATTAGCTTTGGTTCAACCTGTAGTTTTCTTTACAGCTGCTTAGTGGTTTAGCTGGCGTTTGGTTTGAGAACTGAATAATCTGGCAGCTGGCAATTCTTGGGGCTTAGGTACAATGTTGGTTTTATGAATCTGATTTTTCTTAGTCTTTCTTCTGTTTCTTGTCTTTTTGCTTGTTCCTTTCCATTTCTGTCTTCTTAAAGGAGAGGCTATGTGCATTTTCTATGTGGGTTTGGCCAGATTTCTATGTTTCAGTAGCTCAAATCTGATATTTGGTATAAGCTTTTTGTTTCCGGAGTTCGATTACTTTGACTCAGTTCTAGAAATGGTTCTTTTCATTGTCTCATTTTGTTTTCAAGCAGCAAAAAGTTATGGTTATTAAAGAGTTTTTTGGGTGTTTTGAGTTCTGAATTCATCGGTTTTGCCTCTCATCATTTTACAGGTGAATAAAGCGGAGCTCAGAAGATGAGTTCGGGTTTAAATGACACATTATCTCGGAAATACAGTGGTTTGGAGCTATGGGAGATAATAGTGATTGTTCTCTCAGCGATTTTCGTTGTAGTTTTAGCTATATCACTATGGCTTACTTTCAGAAGAAAAACCTCTAGATCTTCTTCTAATCTAGTCCCTGTTAGCCGTCAGATTACTACTAGCGTTCCTGAAGAAATTAAAGAGATTAGAGTCGACGAGGTTTCTTCAAGCAATGGTGGCAATGGATATCCCTCTATTAGTGAGAAGTTTGGAGATAAAGAACCTGAAAAGGGGATAGTAGTAGCAGAGTCAGAAAATGGAGATAGTAGCCGATCAGGCTCGTTTAATCACTTGGAGAAAAAAGATGGCTCGAGCGTTTCTTCTGCTAATCCTTTGACAGCTCCATCTCCTTTGTCTGGTCTTCCTGAGTTTTCTCACCTCGGTTGGGGACATTGGTTTACTCTTAGAGATCTTCAGATGGCTACAAATCAGTTTTCGAGGGATAATATCATTGGTGATGGTGGATATGGAGTTGTTTACCGTGGCAACCTTGTTAATGGTACTCCTGTTGCTGTTAAAAAGTTGCTCAACAATCTGTAAGTTCTTTTGGAAATTGCGAATCAAGATTCGAGGTTTCATTTCCTGAATCTTCTTTTTCTAATGGTGATGTTTTGTATTTTCTTAGAGGGCAAGCTGACAAAGACTTCAGGGTAGAAGTTGAAGCTATAGGTCATGTTCGCCACAAAAACTTGGTCCGCCTTCTTGGATATTGCATGGAAGGAACACAGAGGTATGTATGTTCTGTTGTAAATGATCTGTAGATTTTCTTCTGAATTTCACTAATAATCGGATGCTGTAACACTTAACTAGGATGCTGGTATATGAGTATGTTAACAATGGAAATTTGGAGCAATGGCTCCGTGGAGACAATCAAAATCATGAATATCTTACATGGGAGGCACGAGTAAAAATTCTTATTGGAACAGCCAAAGCGTAAGTCTTGTGACTTTATCTTTTTATTTCTCGGTTATGTTTTTTCTATATTCTCATCTGAGGTGATGGGTGGTGATGCAGGCTCGCGTATCTTCACGAGGCGATTGAGCCAAAAGTGGTGCACAGAGACATAAAGTCCAGCAACATTCTGATTGATGACAAATTCAATTCTAAAATTTCTGACTTTGGACTTGCCAAACTGCTTGGCGCTGATAAAAGTTTTATAACTACTAGAGTTATGGGTACCTTTGGGTAAGTAGTGACGTCTCTCTATATTCTCACCCTTTACACTTTTTACAAGTTGCTCTTGAGAAACAACTAACTTCTTTTGGTTCCGTTTTACAGCTATGTAGCTCCAGAGTATGCGAATTCCGGTCTTCTCAATGAGAAAAGTGATGTCTACAGCTTTGGGGTTGTACTCTTGGAAGCTATAACTGGTAGATATCCTGTAGACTATGCTCGCCCACCACCTGAGGTAACTTTCAAAAAGTTTTGTTCATACAAACCTTCAAAACACGTAAACTCTGCTCCCTCAAGAGTGTTCTCTGACACCTTTTTAATCATGTCGTAGGTACATTTGGTGGAATGGCTGAAGATGATGGTCCAACAAAGACGATCAGAAGAAGTGATTGACCCAAACCTGGAGACAAAACCATCTACAAGTGCTTTAAAAAGAACACTCTTGACTGCTCTAAGATGTGTTGATCCAATGTCTGAGAAACGACCGAGGATGAGCCAAGTTGCCCGTATGCTTGAATCCGAAGAATACCCAATTCCTAGAGAGGTAACAAAATTTTGAAAACGGCATCTTGTGTCTATTAACCAAATAGATATTTTGTTGAGTTTGGTGCTGAAAGCTTATACCAATTTTGAGAATTCAGGATAGGAGAAGACGAAGGAGTCAGAATGGGGCAACAAGAGATTCAGATCCTCCTAGGAATAGCACAGACACGGACAAGAGTGAGTACCATGACCTAAAGCCTGAAGCTGGATAGCCATTGGAAAAAATCGAGGTGTAAATTGTCGTAAAGTTTCGAGCTTTATGTGAAGTTTCAAGTCCTTGGTTCTTCTCCAGATCTTCTGCGTTATGTGATGTTTCTTTTCTTTTGTAATAAGGAGAGAGAGAGAGAGGGTGAGTGAGTGTTCATTGTTGTTGCTTGTATAGTATATGTTTGTTGTATTGTACTTTGCTTCTCCACGTTTTGCTATGTAGGTTTGTTTTTGGACCAAGAAAACGTTATTTGCAGGTTTTGTAGGATCTTTATGTTAAGTCTTTGAGAAAACGACGTGTAGTTTGCAATTTGCTTGTGGAAGATATTGTTATCTAAGACTATCTGACAGAGGTCTTTGAAGCTTTCCAACACTAAAAATCGACTATACAAAAGTTGAATAGTACTCTCCAGAGAGTTATTTATAGTTTTGTTTCCCTAAAATTTTCTTGAAAAGTTTCAGATCAAATGGCATAAACTACCTAAGCAGAGACATTCCAACTTTGGTCTGGTCTCTGGCTTTCCAATTTCTAATCTTTGCCAAACTCTTCTCCACCTTGATAATTCGAGTCTCCAGCTCCAATGCTATCCTCTCTATTACAAGCTTTCTCTGCCTCAATTTTTCATCAACTTCTTCTTCCTTTTTAACTTCACTTGCAATCTTTCCAATGCATCTCTTCTTCAATTCTCTATCTTCATGTACCCAAGACTCTGCTTCCTTGATCTCATCATCGATCATTGCCTTCTTCTCTACATGTCTTCCATTTACATTATCACATGATTGCCTTGTGATCTCTGCTATTTTGGCAGTATCATCATCCTCTACTTCCATCGAAGCATGGTTTTGACAAGGCTCTGAATCATCATCGCTATCCACCACCCGATATCTTCTAGTTCTTTTTCCAAATGATTCAGAAGCATCACCTCCAGGTTGCTCTACATCACTAAACTTCTTCCTAAATCTGATCAATTGGGAAACGGTCATGTAACCAGCTTCTTCATCCATAGAGCTCTCATCATCATCCTCACGAGCTCGCGTCCTGTGCACATATCTCTTTGCTAACCTACTCATCCTAGATCTTCTGTATTTTGCAGGAAAGCCTTCTTCCAACTTCTGAATCACTTGACTCAAAGGCAATACATTGGGAGATACATCTATATCATCATCGTCATCATCAAATGTATTCCTTGCATTAAAAGCTTCGTTGATTCTTTCTGCATCTCTTTAGAACCCAGAGAGTCTGAAACTGATTTCAACCACCAGTCTTGGTATCTCGCAGTGACCGAACCTTGATCAAGGCGTGAAGGCATGTAGAGCTTAAAACCCTTAAGAGACTTACTGTAATCATCCCAAGACTCCTTTTCTGTAAAGTGTCTGTGAAGAGTAACCAAACCAGGGAGATCTTGAGCCAGCCCGAATTGCATTGCAACACGATTAGGATAGTAATCCTCAACAAAACCAATCCCAACAAGCTGAGAACTCCTCACACATCGAGCAAATGAAACAAACTCATCTTCAAGATTGTCATCAACAGTCACCCACATAGCTTCTTCAAGGTAAAACCGAAGAGGGTTCCAGTTCTTCAACGGTTTAGTGTAAGGTCGCCAGTCGAAATCATCAAAATTCATTCTTACTTTATTAGATCTTTGTACGAGACTGTCCCACTGAGCTATCCTGGGTTCACCTTTGGGTATCTCTCTAGCCTTTGGTCTTATGTTCCTGAACCTCTCCCATGCCCAAACTTGGACTAACTTAAACAGAGACTTGAACTGAACTTTGCCAGCACATTTTCCTCTAACGAAATCACAGAGTTGACCCAAATCTTTGTACAGAACTGCGAGAACAGCAGGGGCAAGAGCAATCCTTTCACCTCTAGCTAAACGAACAGCGATTGGGATAACATGTTTCGAAATGGAACGACGAGATCTAGCTGGAAAAACAAAAAACGAAAGCCACAATACAAGAAAAGCTTCATGTTCCATCTGATCACCTCTACCCAAGAAGATGGAAATCCATGATAGTATGCTCACTCTCTTATCTTTGATAGCTTTCTTTGCTCTTAATTTCTCCAGTTTCTCTGCGGAATCTCTCATCTCCGAGCTCTCTAAAGGAGCAAAAACAGGAGAACCCAAAACAGAAAACCCTAGAAGCACCATTACATCCTCTAACGTTATCGTCGCTTCACCCCATGGGAAGATGAAGGATTTGGTTTCAGAACACCATTTCTCTGCAACGGAGAAAATCAGAGACGGGTTTTTGGTGATATTGTAAGCCGATGCCTTGATTGCTTCAAAAATCCCTGCTTTTTTCCAAATGTGACCATACAAAGCTTCCATTTTTCCAAGCCAAGAGACGAAATGAAGCTCTGCAAACCAAAACCCCGAGAATAATCCCCTCGAAGACAAGCGCTTTAGTTGCAAAGAAGTATCGGAGCGACGTTGTTCTTCACGACGGGGAAGCTTGGCTGCAGAACCATCAATGGAGGTCGAAGAGGGTTTTAGAAAATGGGCTCTTCTAAAGCGACGGCCATTCTCGGAAACCATCACTTCTGCTCTCTCTTCAATGAGGAGATTCTCAGTGAGTGATGACGATGGCAATGTCTTCTCCATCGATGGAGTAAACGCAACAAAACTAGGGATTTGAAGATCAAAAAGCTGGAGACTTTTGCTATGCACGGAAAAAGAAAGATGCAATTTTTCGTTGAAGAAGAGGGCACAGTTATAATCAAAGGTTTGTCAGAAAACGGAACGGTTTCTTTATATGGCAAACGAAAATGATGACTCATCATTATAATCTATACTATAAAAATAGTAACTCATCGACCATTTTAAGAAATGTAAAAGTTTGGCATCGAAAAAAATAAAAGTAAAATATTAAACCAACGTTTTATTATCTACCTAAATATCATTGAATTATACATCGTATAATACTATAATATAAGCTAAATTTACCTAATTTACATTACATCCTATAATAAATTTACATCATGTGTTATTAAAAATCAAATTTGTTATTGCTTATTGTACATGTATTTAACTTTTATTGGTCAAACTTTAAATTGTACAAGTGAAAATTGCCTAGTGAGAGAGAGAGATTCAGATCTGACAAACTTAAAAGGAGACTACTATAAAAACAAACTTCGCCGACGGTTATTTAATCCTCCTCCTCCTCCTCCTCCTTTACACGTCTCTCTCTCTCATTTCCCCCGGAGAAACAATGACGAAAATGCCCTTCTCCGTCGTCGTTTTCCTCCTCATCTCCGCCGCGTTCCTCGCCGTGGTTCCTCCTTCTATGGCGGAGATCAAATCCCTCGCCATCTCCGACGACGCTCGTCCGATGATCCTCTTCGAGAAATTCGGATTCACACACACCGGCCACGTCACCGTCTCAGTCTCCTCCGTCTCCGTCGTCTCCACATCCTCAGATCCGAATCCAGAAGCTTCGCGTCTCGGATTCTTCCTCCTCTCCGAAGAGTCTCTTCTCCAGGTCCTCCTCGAGATCCAGCAGAACTCTAGATTCTGCGTTCTAGATTCGCACTACGTCACTCATCTCTTCACATTCAGAGATCTGTCTCCACCTCCCAACTCCAGATTCAACCAATCTTACCCAGTCACTTCCCCAAACGAGTACTCTCTCTTCTTCGCCAATTGCGTCCCTGAAACCAAGGTTTCCATGGCGGTTCGCACAGAAATGTATAACAAAGATCCCAACGGATCCAAAGACTATCTACCAGCTGGATCTACTCAATTACCTACTCTCTACTCCTTCTTTTTCCTCTGCTACGTTGCTTTCCTCGGGTTCTGGAGCTACACTTGCTGGACCAACAAGCAAACCGTTCACCGGATCCATCTTCTCATGGCAGGTCTGCTTCTAATCAAATCATTGAATCTGATCTGTGCAGCTGAAGATAAACATTACGTCAAGATCACTGGAACGCCTCATGGCTGGGACATCCTCTTCTACATCTTCCAATTTATCCGTGTTGTTCTGCTCTTCACCGTGATCATCTTGATCGGAACTGGCTGGTCGTTTTTGAAGCCGTTCTTGCAGGAGAAAGAGAAGAATGTTTTGATCATTGTGATCCCACTTCAGGTATTAGCCAACATTGCTTCGATTGTGATTGGTGAGACTGGACCTTTTATCAGAGATTGGGTCACATGGAACCAAGTGTTTTTGCTGGTTGATATCATCTGTTGCTGCGCTATTATCTTCCCTATCGTTTGGTCAATTCGATCTTTGAGAGAAACCTCGAAAACCGATGGTAAAGCTGCCAAGAACTTGTCCAAGCTCACCTTGTTCAGACAGTTCTACATTGTTGTCATCGGATACCTATACTTCACGAGAATCGTGGTGTTTGCGCTTAAAACCATTGCGGCTTATAAGTACCAGTGGGTGAGTTTTGCAGCAGAGGAGATAGTGAGTTTGGTGTTCTATGTGATCATGTTTCATATGTTTAGGCCAGAGGAGAAGAACGAGTACTTTGCTGTTGATGATGATGAAGAAGAAGCTGCTGCTTTGGCCCTTAGGGATGAAGAGTTTGAGCTTTAGAAAAAGCATAACAATGGAGGATTTTTCTTCGTAAGCAAAGATTTATTCTTTTTCTTTTCACTATGTCTATGTTAAAAAAAAGTCGTCTAATACTGCAACTGTCATTGTTCCTTTTTGTTAAATTTTGTCTTCCTTACATTTAAATTGTCTTCGTTATCACCACTTCTTATGGTTTTAAATCGGTGATGATCTTTGGGGCTGTAGCAAATTTTATCTGAAAGATTATACTATCATCATTTTTAAAGTTATGTTACCGTGTTGTTAACAATTTACAATTCAACATTTGTGCTCATTCCAGTCATATTCTTACTGTAACCACACTAACTATTTCATCATCTAACATCCAAAGTTCAGATCTTTTTAGGATGATGTTTTTCAACCAATGTTTTAGAATTGTTATCCACTGTGTTCTGTTTTTGTGCCTTTAATTTATCAAATATAACTTGATCAATAGTAAAGTGGATTTCCAATACCAATAGTAAAAGTGGTTTAGAAACATTGCTCATTACTATATTTAGCCATTAAAAAATCATTCCTCTTTGTCTCCATCACAATCATATCAGAAACGTGCTTGGCACTATCCAAAACATAAAATACAAAGACAAAAAAAACAGAGGGCCGTATGATTTGTAAAAAAAAACAATTATATGATATACTGTATACAGTTTGTATATAAATTTCAACAACAGATTCTTAAGTAACCATCATGTGCTCCAACGATGAACAATCTGGAGAATGGCAAAACACAAATGGTTGATAAATCCGATCTGACCCTTCCTCCTTTCTCCGCCATATACAGTTTCTGTGGTATAAGCCGCTGCTGCTGCTGTTGCTCCTCCTGTCAATTGAACAAAACCGGTCATTTTCATCATATACTTGACCTTGTTTCACGATGTTTCCGTGCATAAAACGACTATCAAACGTGGTTCATTGACCAAATTCTAATCTTAGTTTAGGCTTATAGCCAAAGTCAATACAGAGTGCGAGACTACCTCGTCTTGAGACTTTGACAGTGAGAAAATCCCGATATTGTTTCTTGAGATGGAAATAACGTCATTCCCCCAGATGGAGAAACCTGAAACACCGTCGTCGTGCCCTTTGACAACAAAAGGCTGTGGTGTCCAGCTCCTGTTTTACCAGAATAAACCAGTTGTTATCACATATAGATACCAAGGAAAACTAAAACAAAAACTCACAAGAAAGAAAAAAATCCGTTATGATTGTTTTGCTCACTTCCTTAAGTCCCACATCCGTAAAGTTTTGTCAAGTGAGCTGGAAACAAGTAAATGGCTCTCAGGTGCCGCTAACTGCAAGTAAGAAAAAAAATGAAGATGGGAAGAAAAGCCACATTAATTCTGGAATTTATATTCGTTTCGGGAGGGATAAACAGCTTAATTCACCTTTGTCACGTATCCGTCGTGAGCTCTCCACGAGGAAATAAAACCACTTTCCCTTAAGTCAAATAGCCTACACTGGCCAGAACTAAAACCAGCTGCAATCCAAGAAGGTGATACTGAAACTCCATCTCCATGTTTTGTCTGAGACCCTCCTGAACAAAGAGCAGATACGAGAGAAGTGAATCCAGATTCAATGGGTTCTCCTCCCCAAAGTTGAAGCTTCTGGCCTCGACCTAGATCGATAAACCTGAATTGTGCAGTGGAATTGAGCAAAAATTGTTGCAAGTTATATCTAATGCTTTATTATCTTGATTTAGTGTAATGTCTACTTTACCTGAGGGCACCGAATCCGGTTCCAACAACTAGCTGATCCATGTATTCTAAATAATGCATACATGTATACAAGTTCTCATCAAATATCCCACTTGATAATCCATGTGATGCATTTCTATTACACTGATTGGAATTATTCTTTGATGACGGATATGAGGACGCTTGATCTTGATCCGTGTGTGACTCGGAGAACAAAGATACTAGTTTCCCGGTTAGGCTGTTCCACACATGTATAGTTCCGTCACAAGATGCTATCTTTCCGGTGGATGACAGTATATTGATGTCATTAACAACCTAAAATATAAAGAAACAATTAGGTGCATACTTCATATTATACAAGTAAGAGAGTAGATAATTATGTGCAAGCCGTAAGAAAGTAATAATAATACAAGGAACCAACCTCTTCATGGGCATGATAACCAGATACGCAACTTAAGCTTGCTAGTTCCCACTTCTGAACACTTCCCTTAAACCCTGGATCAATTCCTGAAGTGAAAACTGTACACTCATCTTCAGAAACCACTAAAGATCTTAGAGCTCCATGATGGGCACGCGCAGAAGACAAAACAGATGCTTTAGTTTTCCATCGATGCTCATCTTTGAGGTTTCCAAAACGCCCTATGTCAAGCCCATCCCAACAAGTTACTGGACTAGGAAACCATGACCACGGTTCACGCGCTATCGAAACTGCTTCTTGTTCTTCAACTGGGACATGTATATGAGGTTTTAACTGATTTGAATTTCTAAACCCCTGCAATTGGGGAACCAACCGACCAGATCCGTTGAGCAACATCTTAGGAGGGTGCTTAGAGGCCTTGGATAACATAGGCCTAGCTTCCATATTATATCGAGAAGATCGTCCTGTGTATTCCCACTGAATCAAAATAGATTCAGTGATAAATGTTCATAGCTCAATGGAAATCTGTATATATCAAAATTTATTGCAACAGAAATCAGAGTTTTTCTATAGATGAAGAAAGAATACCTTCCAGTTATGATGCTTTAGCAGATATTGCTCAAGGAGTAGCCAGGTTGGACAACCTTGACGTAATGTCTCCATACCAAGAAGTGAGGCGAAAGAAGGATAGAGAAGCAACCTGTAATTCCTACCACGTTAGGGAAAAAAAGGAATCACACAAAAAGTTATTTACTGATGATTCAGGTGAAACACGCACACAAGATCCATACGGCTTTTGATTGGAGATCCTGGATGAAAGTTTTGTTCAGCAGCCCTGATCTTCAAACTTAAAGAGTCAGATGCATCTGTACTTTTCTCAGAAAAAGCAAACTCATCAAAAAGCTCCTTCAACTGCGGAAGAACATGCAATGCAGTCAACTCTTGTCCAAGCCGCTGGCAAATTGACATCAAGGAAGTCGCAGCAAACTGGAACATTGAAGATAGAACCATTTAAAAAGAAAATCCAATGTTAAAAAGGCCTTCCATATGTTCGCAGTGACAGTAAAGTGTATCAATGGATTTTCTTATAAAGAAGGCATTTATGCATGCCTAGTAATGCAACTACCAATAGACTAAACTTCACAACAGAGCCACTAAAATTAAGCTAAATCTTCTCTCTCTTTTTTGAGTCAATCTTCTTTCACCACTTAGACAACTTAAACCAGGTCGTACATCTTGATTATACATCATTATCCTTTACACCTCCCTCAAAGTTACTGATAAACAAAAATAGAAAACGAAAATCAAGAATACCTGAAGGACCCGCAACTCAAGATTTTTCTGCATAAGAACTCTTACATGTAGGCACAACCGACCCTATGTAATGATAAGACAAGCCACAACAACAAAACGAAAACATAAGTGCTTAACATAAACTACAGTAAAGATAGACAGAGCAAAATTTTAAAACATACTTTGGTCAGCTCAAGTATGAGCAACTCGTCTGATATTAGAGCAACTAGACCATCAAGTGTGATTAGGCAATCAGTTAGCGCCAAAGAACACCAGCTCTGAACCGGCTCTGGTTTTTTCATAGAAGAAAGATCTATACAGAAGCAAACAACATGTTCAAGCAATGGCAGCATCTGTTTGACAATGAAGTTCACACCCAACAGTCTCCCTGAAAATTTAACAATACAACAATCACTTAGCTAGATATGAAATTTCCAGGTAGAGCAAGTTGCTTGAACCAACAGATAGGGTGTACCAATTCTGACCAGCAGATCAATCCCATCAGTGCATATTCCTTTTCCGAAGTAACTAATCAGAGGCAGTATAGTCTGTATTAAGAGACAAGTCAGCATCCAAAAAGAAACTCAGAAACGCGTAGAATACACGATGAAAGTTAGACATAATAATTATGGAGTGGAAGACAGGAAATCTTCTCTGACCTGATGTACTGTAACAGGGGCACCAAGCTCTTCGCTTGAACCAATCAGTAGCACAGAAGCAGCAGAAGCTGAGATCTTGTCCGGAGAATTATACAAGTTCGATATGACTAAAGGATGAATCATTTCAAGATATACTCTCTTTCCAATTTGATTCCAAAGTTCCCTCACAAACGAATCTTGAAGAAGTGAAACTTTCAAATGCGAGTAACCTGTGGTCTAACATATGATACTCTGTCAGAAGACATTAATTGAACTTAACAAGTTGCTGATACTCTAACTACACAGAGATTTAGATTTCAAAATTCCATCAGGAACCAACAATACATGCGTACCAGTAAGATCTTCTGGATAGAAGGCAAGACAAGTCTCTGCACTGCCATTGGTGTCAAAGATTTTGTCAATTCCTTGAGAAGTACATAAGCCAATTCACACTCGTCGTCAGATAAAGGTGTTGTGACTAGTGGCAAACAGTACACAGCACACATCTCTGCAACAAATGTTCCCATTGTTTTCAACGCTCCCTGTTTGGCGAAACTTGCAGCATAACACAAGCGTGTTTGACCTTTGGCCAAAAGGTGAAGTGGAGCAGCAAACAAATGAGCTGACCTCACTGTAGCCGAGAAATACGGAGATTCCAAAAGACTCTTTGCTGAGGGCCTCCTACATGTTTCAGAAGGAAGAGAGATAAATTAGACATTCACACCTAAAAGAACAAAATGTGTTACTACACATTCTTTATCAGCACATATCACACAGTCATTAACACAGGGAAGTATCAAAGAAAACAGGGTAACCGAAATAGGGTGAGAAAAAAATACCTTCTCCAATCTTGTTCAATACATGCTTCGACAAGTACCTGAGTAGGACGAGGAAGTTCCTTCACCAATTCAGGTAAGTCACCATCTTCTAAATAAGTAGCCAAAGACACAGAGTTGAATAGCGGCCTCATCAAATACAGTTCTGCCAAGACACAGCCAATAGAAAAAATATCCCCTGCAATGTCCTCGGAAAAGTTTCTTGCGCAGGAATCTAGCCGCCAAAGTAATAATTCTTGAAGTTCCGTCGATTCTTTATCTCTCACCTCCATATGCTCCAGTAGATAATTCACACTTATAGTTGATGGTAAAGCTTTGTTTTCTGAAGTTTCAGGGAGACTAGTATTTACGTTGTTAGTGTTTTCACTGTAAGATTCATGCAAAGGAGACTGAACAAAGTTTTGAAGGTGATACTTTGGACTTAGATCTGATGCATGATCAGAAAATGCAGATGCCTCTTCAGTTTCTTCCAGATACTCATCAGCTTGGAGGACGATGGACCTCTTGTTGTCCACACCAAAGCCATGAAACGTATGCATTTCTAGTTCATTTCTACATTTTTCTTTTTCGCGGGAGAAACCAAGGCGCACTGGATGAGGTCGAAAAAAGAGTTGACGACGTCCAACTGACCTTGGTACTGTCGGCTCAGATGAAGACAGCATAACATTCTTTGCAGTAATAGCAGCATGTCCTGACATTTTGTAACCAAAAGTAATATCAATCCAGTGATGCATTAGAGATGAAACACGAGGGCTTTCTAGGGCATCTCGATGCAATTTAATGAACTCCTCAGGGCTGCTTGCCCATGGAGGTACCGCCAAATCAGACATACTAGGATGAATGGAGAAAAAGATGCGCGGATCGCAGTAGAACTCAGGGATGCACTCGTCAGGGGTCCAATCATAAAGCCTTTGCATGTCAGAGGGATACTCATTAGGTTCATACACAGACCGAACTGCCTTCCGCAGGACACTCAGTGGTAGTCTTCTTGCTTTGTAGCTGCAAACAGCCAGCTCAGACAGACATTCATCAGAAACATGATGCGGAAACTCAAATGTTGAATAGGTGAAATCTAATTGTTCATCTCCTTTCGCCAATCTCCATTTGCTTTTTCTCAAATCCCGCCAGCCTGAGTTACTATCATTTTCAGGTTTTCTGCTGAAATCTATGACCCATGGCATTACCGGATGAAATGTATGGTCCCCCCATCTTCGGCCTGCTAGTTTGTTTAAGACGAGTAGATACTCAAAATTACTTAACTCTCCCCTCCACCATTTATTAAAGTGACTCTGCCAGTCCAAATCTGAAGAAATAATAAGATCAGCATAAAGGCCATTAGAATAACAGCCCTCTACACACCACGATCTTCTTGAAGCAGATGGATTGGCATCTCTGGAACCTACATCAGGCTTGCTATAGATCTTTAACCAACTCCATAATGAATCAGACAACAATATGCTTGACGGGCGAATGTCCCCATGTGAAACCCTCAACCCATGCAAGTGAGCTAAAGCAGACAATAGCTGATATATCAGAAAACTTCTATGCCATTCTGACTTAATAGCACTGGGGCTGTAGTGGAGAATATTTTCTAATGTATACGGGGATTTGGGAAGCACTGAGACCAAACAATCAGATGATGTCAGAATTCCTAAGACCGGTGTAAGGTTCGGATGCCTCAGATATCGAGGTTTGCTGTTCTCCTCTGACAATGGTAACCCAAGAAGACGAAGGAAACTGTGGGTTTCTTGTCCAGATGGCTTCCCATCAATCAGGCAATGTAGAGCGGCTAAAACTTGATCTTCTGGACAATCAGAAAAGAAACTAACAGCAAGCTTTTGAAGATCAGATGCGGAACATTTTTTAATCTGAGCAATTGGTAAAAGTGCAGCTATTCTTCTCCAACATGAAAAACTACCTGGAAGCTCGCAAGTAACAGTTCCACAAGCAATGTTCTCAGTGTCATCAATTTCAGTAGCCTGAGAGCCACTGGGTGAACAAACCAAACACTCATCAGATTCAACAACACATCTCTCGCTGCAAAAAAAGAAGGTTGCTCAACGAGAAATTATTTGATAGATTCAAGTCTCAGCCTAGGGAGAAAATAACCGAGACCGTACACGTAATTAGCCAAGCAACCATGTTCTTCCTTCCGGAGATACTCCAAAATGAACTGAGACGAAGCCAATTCACAAGAAGAAGAAGCAGATACTTCCTCGCCAGAATCAGAGACCTACACAAACACCAATTGAAACAGCTCTAATTTCAAAACTTCCACCATTGAAATCTACAATACAAATGACGACTAGAGGAGGGAGAACAGACGGAGACCTCCACGACGGCGGAGGATCCAAAAGGTAGCGGTGAATCAGAGAGGCCGTAAGAGAAGACGATCTGATCGGAGAAGTCTGATTTGGTACGTTGATCGAGGCAATCGAAGCAGAGATTACTTGTTTCACCTCGCATCCCTTCTTTCTTGGAGGAAGAGAGACGTCGAATGGATCCGACCAACCTCGGCGACCTGAAAAAAAAGCGCGGCTAAGCAACGCCGTGTTTTCTCGGAACGACGACGTTTTAAGCCTATTATTTTTATTATTGTTGTTTTTTATTTTTTTTTGCGTCTCCCTCCTCAATGTTAGAGACTATTTTTAATACATAAAATCGAAAAGCTTCGTGATAGGACAAAATTTTCAAAAAAAATTTTAAGACGGCCGTCAAAGTTTAGGGGACGGAGGCGCAATTTTGCCGTCGGGAATCGCAATGGGAGGAGGAACCATTAACGACGAGCTGACCGAAGATGAGAAGAGAGCTCTCAGAGGAAGCAAATTCGCTCCTCTTAGTTCTCTTCCCTCTTCTTCTCGCTCTAAACCTCCCAGGTTTTTTTCTTATTTTCACTCCTTAGGTTTTTTTAAATTTATTTCCTCTGCTCGATTTGAAAATTTTGACTTTCCCTGAGATGTTGTTGGTTATGTGTACAGATTAGCTCATCCAGGTGGACCCTTGAAGACGAACAAAGCGGCGGCTTTAGCCAAGTTTCTAGAAAGGAAGCTGCAAGATCCTAATGGGTTAGCTTCCATTGATCCGGATCTTATCGAATTGGCTGTCAAAAACGCCAAAGACACTGTTATTTCGAGTGAGTACTTTAAAAACACAATTTTTTGATTATGTTTGTCCGAAAGGTTTGTGATTTGGAGTAGGAACGCAAAAGGATTAGTTTTTTAAATGTGAGAGGGCTTAGGCATTTGAGAGATGGCAATGGCATTGTTCTGTGATTATAAGGACTGCTTGGTAGTGTAGTAGAGGACCTTGTAATTAGCTTAAAAGAGTTTGTGTTTGATTATAAGGCATGGTTGATAGCTCAGCATTAGCTGAGAGCTGAGGTGCTACCCACAATCTGTTGAGGTATTGATAAGGTGGTCTTGTTAAGTCTAATGCAGAAGTATTGTAACAATCCTATCCGTTAGTTGAGAACTAAAGTTTAGAGGAGAGCTGAAGGAATGAATTGAGAATCTTGGTTTGGGGTTTTAGGAGAGTTTAGGTTTCTATCGAACTGACCCCAGGGTTCTATCTTTAGTTATTTGGAACAGTTTGTTCTCTGTTTATCTTCTGTAACTGAATTCAGGGTGTGAATATAGAGAGTATCACATCTGGTTTTTATCAGGTGTATTGGATTCTCAAATATATTGGTTGGCAATTAGGGTTGGACAAGTACGTCTGAAATTGTAGCTCAGTTCAAGTTAATGAATACAGACGAACCTTAACAACTGGTAAACTCTCACCTTCAATCGTCAAGGAAAACTATATAAAGTGGGATATGTTAGTAGAAACTATGGGTAGCATCAATCGTGAGACCTTATAAGTTTGGCAAGAAGTTCGCATATAAATTTTTTCAAAGGTCATGATTGATTGTGCAAGAGATGTATGTGGCATTGAAATTTTACTACATCATTGCAAGTAAAAATCTTGTATGGATGCATTCTATGGGTTTTCCTGAGTTTCAACATAGCTTCACAGCTTCAAGAGAGTTAGCATATCTAGCATTGGTTAATTGTTGATACATAGTAACTATCTGCCTGACACTAGTTTTACACTATAATTTCATTGTAACTCTGGACTAAGTTTGCTCACTTCAAAGTTTAGAATAGGAATAACATAAGGTCTGTGAAACAACATAGCACACGGACATGTAGAGGTGTGCTTTTATCTGAGCCAATCCATATGGAGACAAATGCATATACTAGTTATGTTATTGGGTAACGTATATGGCCGAATGAGTTGTTCTTAAGCTCTGGGGTATTGAATGTGAAGGCTTAATCTGTATGATACTCTACTGGTCTCAGGTGGGGCTTCTAGTTCAGGAAGGAGAATCCAACACGTTGCCTCATTCGAGGACGTCGAGGTATTTATTCTCTCTACTCTCTTTCATTCTGTCTGGACAGGGAAGAAAAGTTTTAGAATATGTGCTGCTGACCAATTCTTACACCTTCGTCACCATGCTTAGGTATCTTCTGATGACGATAAGATAGAGAACACTAAGCTAAGCAAAAAGAAAAAGAAGAAAAACGCAAAGAAGAAAAAAGAAGAGAAAAAGAAGAAGAAAAACAAAAAGCATAAGGTTATCCCCGTCACTCCCTTTTTCCTTATCTCATCTTTCTACTTGCTTTTCGTATTCCCAACACAGATTTTTATAAAGTCTATTTACGTTACTTTCTGGATTCCGTCGTCGCTCATATCTGCGTGTGGAAATCTTTTCTGAAAGCAACAGATCACAGTCGATGAAGATGCTAAGTTAAAGAGACCCAATAAGAAGTTGAAGCTTTAGTTTGCCCTGGTCTGGCTATACATTACTGGTCACATATTTGATGAAGATGGTTTAGTTGGGTCTTTAGCAACAAACTCAATCACTGTTATATGTCTTATCTAAAGAATATGTTAGTCCAATGGTTTTAACCAAGATTAGCGACTTAGCGTCATGATCTTTCTTCTTTATGTCGTTTAGCTGTCTCTGGTTTTGTTTGATGAAATCTGAGACTGGAGTTGTTTGTGATTTTAGAACAAATAGCTTCATGAATCTGTAATATGTAATTTTTGGATGGAATATCAATTGCTTGTGTCGTTAGCCTTTTAGATCATAGTTATGAGACCAATTCTTAGTAATGATCTGCATAAGTTCATTGTATGAACTACTTTTTTTTTGTCTAAAAGAGCTCATGGGTACAAGTTTGTGTCCCACTTCAAAGGGACAAGAGGAAACACAATAATGTTAAATCAGGGAGAGAACAAAAACTAAATTCTAATTCCATTTTTTTTTTGCTTGTTTACGTGATGAGTTTTGAATCTCTTACTTGTCAGTCGTTTTGAAAAGTATGTTTTCTTTTAGAGATCTTAAAGTTGTTGAGCATATTAAAAAAGGGTTCGTAAGTGTTTAATTTCGAAATCAATGCAATTCTCCCATTTTGCTACACACAAACTTAAGTCCTCCATTTACAACTCATAGATCATCAAGCAGTATAACAACAACAAAAACGTTATTGGGAATTAGACTAATTGTGTTTCCTGCAATACTTATATCACAATAGTTAAACAAAAACATCTGACATGTGTCTTTTATGCATTGCTTGGTATACATATATACACAAAACCAAAAGTACGATTAACTTGCACATTATTATTTTGATTGCTGAGCATATATATAATTTTTTTTAAAAGAGCTGTCATGGTCTGAACTTTAACAAACAAAGAAGAAAAAAAAAAGAAGTAAAAAAAATGAGCTCGCCGACATTTTGGGTTTGGGAGAGGAGGGATACGAATGTTATGGTCGAAAAGATCTTAAACACAATCTCAAAAAGCTGCTTCACATGTGGCCAATACCTCTCCAAGTCAAACCTTCTCATTCTATTTCCATATTTCTTTAAAGCAATATAATATTTATTAGTACTATTTTGTGTCAAGCCTCTCATGATGATGAAACAAACCAATGCACTTTGAGTTTGAACTACTCAGCCAAGTTAGTATGTCGAAGAAAAACATCTGATTCGTTTGTCCAGCAGTTTAGCAGACAAACGATATAAAGAAGATCTCAACCGTATGATGATGATTAATCACACACCAATGGCTGTGTACTGTAAAACCGTTGGATCGATCGATGAATCAAATAACACTATTTTGCAGTGTCGCCTTTTTAAGTGATCTAAAAGTCAAAATAGAGAGAGAGAGTCACACAACAGAATCCTCCTCATGCGCCCTTCCTTCCTTCCTGCCATGCGGCTTTAAATTTCACGCGCTTCTCAAATCTCAATCATATCATTATTAACCCAATCACACTTTTTCGTTTTGCTTTTAATGGTAGCAGTCACAAGACTCACAAACTAACTTAACTTATAGATTTAGGATTCGAATAGTTACCAACAATTTGAGTGTTTGTTTATGAACCAGACCGGTTTTTAGTTATCATTTATAAGGTATAGTTTTTAATGGGTGCAGAATCTTATGTTTCTTCACCCATTAAGATTTTTATTTCTTATTGATGTTTTTTTTGTATTGTTTTTGTTCCTATAATCTTATGTTAGATTTGGTTGATATTGTAGAGTTGTCTCATTGGTTTTATGAGACTAATGATTTGTTAATGTTTGAAACATGTATTGTGAAAGAAATAGCTGAGCTTTGTATCAAAAAAGTTTTTTTAGATTTTGTAAAAATAAAATGCATGAATCTTCTTTATTCGTTTAAGGGCAGTAGATAGAAATTCATTTCATACTTGCGATGACAACAACGAAAGGGCATATAAAGAGTCGAAGAATGGTTGTTCAAAAATGTTGAATTCTTTTTACTCTCTAGAATCATCAATAAAAATATCATTAGAGGCAAAGAGATAAATTAAATTTACGGTATTTTTTCATACGTCTTAAAAATAATAATAATGTGAACTAAACCAATAACGAATTTACACCCCGGTACTAGCCACAACATCCATTCAAAGCATCATAGTACTATCGTTAGTACAACGATGGCCTTTGTGATCAAATCATCGAAAGCATTAAAATTTTACTGATCCATATCGGAAGTGGTATACAAACAATATGCTTTGCTGTAAGTGTGAAGTGACTCTTAAACGTTTTTGGTGTTGTTGAGTGCGATTCACACTCTTTGCGTGAGCGTGCAAGAAAATACTTTCCGTATTTTGCATCTTACTCCCTTCTCTCAACACGTGTGGCTTCTTCATTTGTCCCAAAACTTAAAACTAAAAACCAAAACTATATTTTCTTATTTGCTTTCAAAAGCATCTCTCTCTATACTATAGTTTTCTTTTGTATTTATTGCTTTTTTTTATCTAAACTACTAAATTTAAGCTTAAGTCCAAATCTAGACAAACTATAAACATTTCAAAAATGATGTTTAATTAAAACAGAACCAGTTTTTCTTATTAACATTTATTCAAATGAAGTAATGTTTGTCTTAGACTACCATAACCAAAAAAAAAAAAAATGCAAATGTTTTATCTAAGTCGGTTGTCAATTACTTTTTAATTTTTCATTTATAATTCTTTAAACAGTTATTGCATGCGGAAAAATGTTAAGTTTTCTTTGTTGGTATTGTTTGAAACTGTTTTAAAAACATAATCGACTCTAAATTTATATCTAGACAGACTCAACAAACACACCTATAGGTAGTCAAAAAGATTAGGCGTAAATAATGTATACAATATGAAACCTAATACTATATAGTCTGACGAGTCAAGTCAACATTAGCACAAAGGTCTAACTATACCATGTTCCGACCAGTGTGTGTGTACTTAGCGATCTAACTATAACGACCGGCGTGTGTACTTAGCGAGTAGCTAATAAACCTTTTATTTTTATTTTTTGTCAGTTTAAGAAATAATTAGCAGATGGAATGGTTGGTTGAGTAAACAAAAAACTGTTAACATCAGTTAATAAATAACACATGAATTAATTTTGACAAAGATATTGGCATCTTGCTATATTTGCAACTTGAGCCGACACAATTCCTTTTCTTTGACTTATTATTAAACTCTTCTTTTCTTTTCTTTTTTACTATTACAAAGATGTAAATAATCATTTGTATTTTTTTGTGTAAAAAACTTTCAGGAGTACCACTATTTTAATTCCTAACAATCACTTTTTGTTGACAAAATAAGAAATGGTTTAGTACTTTGTCTAAATTTTCTTTTAGTTAACATTAGTCTGAAATAAAAACATAATACGTTTCTCACGCCATGGTATCATTTTTCTTAAGAAAACATTTGTTTCTTAATTGTTTTTGCGGCAAATGACAATTATCATGTTCTTCACCCGCATATTCGAGTTTCTCCATGGGACGTGTCATGATTCAAAGGATTGCTTAACTTTAAATTACGCAACACTCTCGAAAAGGAAAAATCAAAACTGAGTATTTTGTGAGTAGTGTAACAATTTTTGAATAGTTATAAGTCATTTTATACTTTTGGTGTTCCAAGTAAAATTAATGGTGGTACAGAAAAATTTAAAATTATGCAACTTTAGATAGTGAATTTATAGTAGTTTTGATTAGTACTGTATAATGCTTTCGTTTACATCTTTTTTTAAAAAATTTTGTTAATGTTTGAACTTATAATGATTAACAATAAGAAACAAATCAATATATCCTTCTCTCTTTTAGGCGACAAAAATTTGTCTCTCTATCTCTTTGTGTTTTCTATTTTGCATGTTTTTGTTGCTTACACAGTTATGCTTGCTGCTGTGAACATGTATGGTGATTGGTAGGTTTTTCAAAGTAACACATAAATATGTCATAAGTGTGAACCCAAAGAACGAAATGAGTAGTTGAAGTTCAAATGATGCCCTACAAGTACAATATATTTAGATCATATAGTAAAATTGTATATCATGATTATACCTCTAATCTTGTGCATCAACTAAATCTAGGAACATACTATTTCATAGATAGGAGTTCTAATTAGTAAGGTAAGATCATGATATAGTACAATAGAAGAGAAAAAATGGAATTGAAATGTAAAATAATGAAGCTAAATTTTTAAAGTTAAATGAAAACGTGTAAAATCACGCATATCTTTTGATTTTTTGTCGTTTTACTAGGTTAAGTGACGGAATCGATGACCATAAAAGAACAAAGCTAAAAATCTTTTAAATGAATCAAAAACATGCAAAATCACGTATCCACTTTTGTTTTGTTGTTTATAAACGTGTAAAGCGACGGGATCGATGAAGAATCATCGCTATTTGGAAGACATATGTAATTCAAGAATCAAACGTTAAAACGAAAAGACGGAATGTAAACGTTACAGTTCTCACAGAGATTACTTGTATCATCGAAACACATAATGACTTTTTCTTTATAAATCTTCTAGAACAATTTATCAAACATAAATGAAGTTTAGAGCAATTAATCATCAAAAATTATGATTGTTTAATATGATAATCAGGATTAAGGTAATGTGTATATATACATGGTTTGATGAACGAAGAAGGAAAACAAAGAAGAAGAAGAAGAGAAAAATAAAAGGGCATTAAATAAAAGAGAGAAGTCATTTATTCTATGTTTGGCGCGTATATTAACCACCACCGGCAAAACACCCACAAAAAAGGCGAGCACGCATAAAGAAAGATCAAAACTTCCCCCATCCCCCTTCCCTTCCAAAAATCCAACCCAAACAAAAAAAAAGTTATACACTCCTTTCGAATTTTAAGCCCAAAACAAAATTGAAAAGAAGAAACAAAAAAAAAGGTTTCAGCTTTAAGGAAAGAGATCAAGCGACTGAGAGTGGTGGTGTTTGAGACAGAACCAACCCACGATCTGTGGTTTTTTTTTTCTTGTCCTTTCACATCTCATCTATTACCTACACTCCCATTTGATCGGAGAGCTCCACATTGGTGGGTTCTGTTTCGCCGGTTAGGGTAAAACAAAAATGGAGCGGTACGGTGGCGCCGGAGAAGAAGAGCCGCGGTCGGATCCATCACTTGAATGGACAGCTCCAGGAAACGAAGCCGGTATCGAAGGTATAACGTTGTTTCCTGCATTTTTTCTTTTGTATTTTCTGTTCATGTCTGATTCTTCAATCTCCGATTAGCGTCTTTTTTAAGAATTGTATGAAAGTTTTGGTTTTTATAAAAATGCGGCGTATTGTAGCTTCGATGTGGCGGTTAGGGTTGCGAGGCGGAGGTGGTGGTGCTGCTGATTCGTTCCCGGAGCGACCTGATGAACCTGATTGTATCTATTATTTACGAACCGGTGTCTGCGGATACGGGTCTAGGTGTCGGTTCAATCACCCACGAAACCGTGCTCCGGTAATAAAACTCTCTCTCTCTCTCATCTCTGTTTTGTATTCCTTTTCTGGGTTCTGTTGATAAAGTTACTTCCTTTTTTGTCTGCTTCCTATGTCTTTTGATTTTGATATAGTCTTTTATGTTAAGGGGTCGTTCTAGTTAATCAGATGCATTATTGAATCTACGATCTGATATCTCACTGAAACAGAATCTCGGATTTCTATTTGTTTAGAAGCTCTCATTGGATGATCTTAGTTTCGTTATGTAGGTCTTGGGAGGTCTCAGAACAGAAGCTGGTGAGTTCCCAGAGAGAATGGGACAGCCCGTGTGTCAGGTATCTTATTCGATTCATTTGATTTTAAACTAATTGGTTCTGAATTATGCATTGCACTTCAGTTTTTAACTTCTGTCTAGACAATTCACCTTATTTTGTTCTGTTCTGTGTATGAGATTATGATATAATGTAGCCAGTTTCTCACTTTAAAGCTGTCTTTGCACAGCATTTTATGCGAACGGGAACTTGTAAATTCGGTGCTTCTTGCAAATATCACCATCCTAGACAAGGTGGAGGAAGAGGAGTAGATTCTGTTACTCCTGTCACACTAAATTACATGGGATTTCCATTACGCCCGGTTTGTTCAATCTCTCTATCTTCTCGGTTTTTATCGGTCTTTTGTTAATGAATGATTTCTCAAAGTTTCCTTACAAATGTATTCTACAGGGGGAAAAAGAATGCTCCTATTTCATGAGAACCGGTCAGTGTAAATTCGGTTCAACCTGTCGATTTCACCATCCCGTCCCTCCTGGTGTACTAGCTCCATCGCAGCCGCAGCAGCAGTTATCCGCTGGGCCAACTATGTATCCATCACTTCAGTCTCAGTCCGTTCCTTCATCGCAGCAATACGGGGTAGTTCTAGCAAGGCCTCAGCTTTTGCCAGGCTCATATGTTCAAAGCCCTTATGGTTACGGTCAAATGGTACTTCCGCCCGGTATGGTCCCGTACTCTGGCTGGAACCCTTACCAGGTAATGCTTAAAAGAAACCTTATTTGTCTTTTAACTTTTCTTTCTCTCTGTCTTAGTAAACCTCATTCCAATTATTTAGGCTTCTGTAAGTGCATTACCTTCTCCTGGGACTCAGCCGTCAATGGGAACCAGCTCTGTTTATGGAATCACCCCGTTATCTCCTTCTGCGCCTGCATATCAATCCGGTCCATCTTCTACCGGTATTTCAAATAAAGATCAAACTTTTCCTCAGCGGCCTGAACAACCCGAGTGTCAATACTTTATGAGAACCGGAGATTGTAAATTCGGATCCTCTTGCAGATTCCATCATCCTATGGAAGCAGCATCTCCTAAGGATATTACCCTCAGCCACATTGGCCTCCCACTTCGACCTGTAAGTCTCATATATTTATCTTATACGCTATAAAAAAAACTTGAAAGATTCCTTCGTGATCAAGAGTAGAGCTGTAGTGATGACTAATGAGAAGTTCATATGTAAACTCTGTTTCTTGATGTGATTAAGAAGCTCTGTTTTTATTCTCACATAGTCACATCTATTTGTTGCTCATGATTTCGGACATTAAGTGCTGTTTTTTGCAATGTTGTTCTTCTTTTTATAACTAATACATTTGATAGCAAAGAGGAAGCTAATAGTAATAATGACTTTTGCAGGGAGCAACGCAATGCACTCACTTTGCTGAACATGGGATTTGCAAGTTTGGCCCTGCCTGCAAATTTGACCACTCCATGGGCTCTTCTTCACTAAGCTACAACACCTCCGCTGCTTCTTCGCTCACCGACACGCCCGTTGCGTCTTACCCTCTTGGGTCCTCCTCGCTCGGTACACTAGCTCCATCAGCCTCGTCTGACCAACGAACGGAGGTTCTCTCTTCCAGCTCTGTTAATCCTATAACCACAACAACTGGTGGTTCAGAAACTGTGGCCTCCGAAGTTTCTCCTTCTTCTACAACCAGCTGTGTCAGCCATCCCGAGCCTGCTGAGACCAGTAAAGGTGATTCAGCTAGCACTGATGCTAAGACTTCGAGTTAAAAAAATACAGAACACAAAAGGAGAGAAGAGAATCTTACTCTATTCTTCTTAGATAATTCTCTCATCTCTCTATTATTCTCTCTATCTCTCTTCTTCTTCTTTTCATCAAACTCTCGTGAATTCAGGAACATAAAAAAGGATATTTTTTGGGTGGAGAGACGACGACAACAGGAAGGAAAGCAGAGCGCTCTCTTTAGTCTTGTGTGTTATGTCTCTTCTCTTAGGTCTCTCTTACCATGTCCATATTATTCCTTCATACGGCCATGTCTGTCTCTGTTACTTTTCTTTCTTTTTTTTTCTTTTGGAACCAATATTATAATAAATGGCCTTTATTATTCGCATAAATTCTCTGATTCCTGTATATCCCCTGTTTGAATGATAAATTCATCATCGTGTATAATATGATATGATCTAATAATGGTGTAATATTATTATATGACAAAGAACCAAAAACGTGAATTTACATCTGTATAGTTTTCGGTTACAACTTTTAAAAATCGGATCACAGTCCAGTTCAGTGAGAAAAAGCAACACTATACATTCAGACAAAAGGCTTTTACGCTTATACCCTTAAAATCTCACTTAATTCACAAAAAGGAACCAACAGCCCTAATCTCTTTCAGTTGTCTCGTCGACGTCCTTCACCCTCCGTCATATCGCCGCCGGGAATTATAGGCTGAGGTATGCATCGCCTCTTGTTTCTCACTCTGTTCGGATTTTCTTTGTACCCTGTTCTGGGAATCAGAAAGTATCAAACTTGTTCTTTCTTGCTCTCATAGTGAGGTTGATCTCTCTATCTAGGGTTCTGTAACAATGGAGTACGTAAACCCAGAAGGTCTTCGATTAGATGGTCGCCGATTCAATGAGGTATGTTTGCATTCTCTATTCCCTTGTCTTTGTTAGCTGCTGCCTTCAAAAGTTAACTTTTTTCTTTCTATTCGTGATGCTTGTTATGCATCTCAGATGAGGCAAATCGTAGCTGAAGTTGGAGTGGTTTCTAAGGCCGACGGGTAAACTCGAAATTTTCTTCCTCTTATCTTTTCATCTCAGTTCTAAAGTTGGCACTTTTATATTAACAAAGTCTCCAACATTGTGTTTGCAGTTCTGCTGTATTCGAGATGGGTAATACCAAAGTAATTGCAGCTGTTTATGGTCCAAGAGAGGTACTACTTGTGTACTCTTTTTTCGACCCGTCAAAGATTGATGTTTTAATTTGTATAATTCAACTTAACTAAGCGAATTTTTTTAATTGTTTCTCTGTGCTCCCTCAGATTCAAAACAAGAGCCTGCAAAAAAAGAACGACCATGCATTGGTATGTATATGCTTATCTGATTTTGTTTGGTATTGTTCTTGGTGATTTGTCAAGTTGTAATGCTTTATGGCTAATTTTATGTGTTGTTAGGTGCTGTGTGAGTATAGCATGGCTCAGTTTAGTACTGGTGATCGTAGAAGACAGAAGTTTGACAGGTTACATCTATACTGTGCTGTGTAGCTAAAAAGACTCTTGTTTGCTTCTTCTTACGGCAACCATATAAATGGTTGTGTATTATGATGGTCAGGCGATCAACAGAGTTATCTCTTGTCATCCGTCAGACAATGGAAGCGTGCATATTAACTGAATTGTTGCCTCATTCTCAGGTTTCCTAGACGAACTTGTTATCAAAGTTGCATTGTTCTCTATGTTTTTTTGTGCGTGTTTCTGATGGATTGATTCCTTTATGCAGATTGACATATTCCTTCAGGTTCTACAAGCTGATGGAGGTAAGAGTAACTCACTAACTCTCTTGTTCTGAAAAGAAGCTTTTTAACTCTTTCAATCCCTGATCAACCATTAGTGTGATGTTCTGTATTCAGGAACAAGATCAGCTTGTATCAATGCCGCGACTCTAGCACTAGCAGATGCTGGAATTCCAATGCGTGATCTCGCTGTTTCTTGTAGTGCTGGATACTTAAACAGTACTCCTCTTCTTGACCTGAACTACGTCGAAGATAGCGCTGGAGGAGCTGATGTAACAGTTGGTATTCTACCTAAATTAGACAAAGTGACACTCCTTCAGGTTCTTCTTCTTCCCTCCATATCACATTGTCTCTTCATTCGCAATCATATGGTTCTAGATTTTGAACGTTTGAAGTTACAAATGTAGATGGATGCAAAGTTACCAATGGAAACATTTGAAACGGTGTTTGCATTGGCTTCTGAAGGTTGCAAGGCAATCGCAGAGAGAATACGCGAGGTAACAATGGAGTTCTCAATTTTTCGCCGGTGTTCTTTTTCCACCATTGAAGAAGAGTGTTATTTGTTGTCTAATTTTTTGGTTCTCATTCTTCTTTTGTTGTGAAGGTACTTCAAGAAAACACCAAACAGCTAGAGTATCGCCGAGCTGCATAAACTTCTAAAACATGACCTGCAAGAATTTTGTGAATTGGATTTTGGAAGTTGAGTATCTGATAGTCCACTCGATCAAATTTTTGGCGCGCTGAGTTTAAAATTAAATTGTCGATTAGAAATGTATTAAAGTAGGTACTTCTTGAACAAATAAGAAGCACAATATTACATTGAAGTGATTTATTTTTACTTACTAAAAGGATAATAATGAACCAGTTTGCCTGCCTTAATCGTGATAAATATGCATGAAGTACAAGTACTTAGCAACAAATAAAATGTTGTGGTAACTATTTTAAAGCGAGACAGATCGTCAAGGATCATATATGATGGAGATGGATTCCGACGTTGTTTATTAGGCCTATCAAATTGATGGTATTATGATTTCAGATTTCACTAAAATTTCCTAATGTGCAAGCAAAACCTCCAATAACAAAAATAATCCAAACTTCCAGTGAGTAAGATTAGGTTTTGCTATCTATCTAATCTTTTCCTTTGTGTAACTTGTGGATTCGGTTATCTTAGCATACAATAAAGAGCTCAGATTCTAATGACTTTTAAAAGAGATTAGAGCCCATACAAAAGCCCACTTACTACTAGATGTCGCGAAAGGAAATTAATGCAATATAACAAAAAAAAAAAAAAAAAAAAACTAATGTGATACAGGAGTAAACGCAAACGCAATATTCGTTTTCAAACAATCCGATTCTAAAAGGTTTTTTGGAACAACAGCAAGAAGAGGACGATCATGAGACAAAACAAAACAAATAGAACAGAACAGATCACTCTGCAGGGTCACGTTTCTATTTAGTTCTTCGATCTGGTTCTATATCCGATCCGTACGAGTTTGAACATGAGATATAAAGGTAAAAATATAATAAATGAAAAATAAAAAGAACACTGTTAATGTGAAAGTGGTAGTCAGTAATTCTCGTACTTGGTTCTTTGTGTTGTGTGATATAACATGTGCATGTGTGTGGTTTGTTCGTTGCGTCTAGTTTTTACTCAAACAAACAGAACAAAAAATCATAATCATCATCATGATTCATGGAGTTTGGTCACTGAAACATCACAATTCACAACAAATGCTTTCAACAACCCCAAAAATAAATCACTAATCATTAAATGCTTTCTCTGAGTTACTACTACTTAGGTCATCTCCATCGGTAATACTGGTGAAAGATTCTAAAAAAAAAAAAATTATATTATTTAATTTATATAATTTCTTTTCTATTTTTATTTATTCATTGAATTATTAAGTGTCTGACATCTGTCCACAATTTCTATGTACCCGTTACTAAAGTCTCTATGTTAAGCTACTCATTTTTTCTCTTTCTTCAGTTTTTATTATTTTTATTATTTTGTTTAAGATAAACTTTTCTTTAGCACCTCCCATTGGAGATGCCCTTATATCTACAACTAAGACTCTCTAGTGATACATCATTTTTATATACGTAGACTACTTCTCTGAGTAATGAGATTATTTCATGCATGAAGAAGTTAGCAACAAAAATATAAACGTACTACTTGAAAAAGTCATATAATTTAAACCTTGACAAATTGTAAAGCATCATTTATGATGAAGTCCAACATACATGTATGTTTGACAAGTTTAACAGCTATATATGATTGGATCTTTAACTGATTTAACAAAAATAAGAAAAGAAAAAAAGTGAAGTTGATCAACACTTGGAAAAGGGGACTTATTGAGTTCTATGGAAGAAAGTCAAAAACCTTAAACAGATATAAAAAAAAAATGATATAAAGAGTTGGAATGTTGAGTTGTTGTACACAAAAGTTAAGGCAAAAGGAGGGAGACATGAAACAGTGATTGTGCAATGAAAGACCAAACCAAGTCATGACCAAAGCACATGTCCAAAGACCAAAAAGACCATCATGCAACTTCGTTCTTCACTTTAAAGTCCATCTTACAGTCACATTCACTAAATATTTATTAATAAACATATTAAAATTTAATGGCAGATATCTCAAATAAAAACATAAAATTTTACTACTATCCTAAAAAAACATAACATTTGAGCTAATTATATTGTACACGGATCAAAATTAGAACATTGGATTTTTTTGCAACTAATTTTATAATCCTCTGTTACATATATTTTAGTTGTTCACTGCCAGTCGTCATATCCGTTTGGGGCAAGTAGTTTAGTTTGATTTCATTATTATATCATAACACACTTATTATATACACAATGAGTATGTTGGGAGTAGCATGGACAAAAGGTGGTCTTAATACAACTCGCGTTATCACTTTTTGCTAATTAAAAGTTTAAAACAATGATACCCAAAAGAAATTACATAAAAGAAAGAATCAAAACTTCATGGTAAGGTAACCTTATGGTGCATGAAACAATAAGCAGAATATATATATAATAACGTCGATAACATATATAGTTAACAACAAAATCAAACGACCATGGTAGAACGTAAAAACTATAAATATTATTGCATATATATAAAACAGAAATATAATTTATAGAATGTTCTAAAAGACTGAGTAGAAGCCTGTAGTATCTGCAACAACATCTCCAAAACCAGCGATAGAAGTTGAGGATAAATCTTGCGGCTCCATTATCGCGTAATCTTCCATTGACATTGAAGCAGCAGCAGCACCGTAGTTGGTGATCATGGCAGAAAGATCACACGAACCAAACTCATGATGATTCATCATCATCATCTCACCTTCTTCGAAGTAGCTATTACTAAACCCTCCGTATGATTCAGAAGCTTTACTTGCTTCCGGAGTTGTGAAACAAGCTCCGGCTTGATTTTGGGTGGTAATGGCTTCGGGAGGTGGTTTAAGGCAGTGGTTTGGGACAATGCAGTCCAAGTAACCAGAGTTGTTATTGGAGTTATTATGTTCTTCGCTTGTTAAAGAGAAGAAGAAGCTGTTTTCTTCGTCCAGTGATGAAGATAGAGAGCCGTTAGAAGAAGAGTTTTGAGGACTATTACCAAACGCTTGAACATCCACGCTTTGATGATGACGACGAACTGGTGTTTTGAAAGAAGCAGCGGGTGAGACGGTTTGGGAGACAGTACTGTGCTTATGTTGTTGTGGGTGATGATAGTTTTGATAATGAGGGTGATGATCGATGACAAACTGTGGAGAAGAGTTTGGTAAGAAAGATTGGTTGTTGTTGTAAGGAGAGACGATGAGAGAATGGAGATTAGGGTTTGTGAGGATGGTGTGAACATCAGTTGGAGTGTATACGAAGTTGGTTCTAGCTTGAGTGCCTCTCATTGAAAGAGCGGCTCTATCATAGGCAAGAGCAGCTTCGTGAGCAGTGTCGAAAGTGCCGAGCCAGTGACGTTCTTTGGTGGTTGGATCTCTGATCTCGGCTGCGTAACGACCCCATGGACGTCTCCGGACTCCTAGGAACCTCCCTGGCTCTGCTTGCTTTGATCTCCGGCCTCGTCTCTCGCCTGTTGCGGTAGTGGTGGTTGTGTTGGTGGATGTGTTTTGGTGGATTAGAGAAAAACCCATCTGAGTTTGGGATGTTTCAAATGGCTTATTATGATCTAGGGTTTTGGAGGTTGACATGATGATGGAGAAAGGGTTTTTGAAAGGAGGTTTCCTTTAGGGTTTGGTTAAAGATGTGTTATGATGAGTAAGGGTTTTTTTTTTTGCTTTGTCTTGCTTCTGTCTAAAGATGATGGTGCTGTTTCGGAATGGAAGTGAAGTGTTGTTATAAATAGAGAGACAATGAGCTTGATAGAGAGACTTCACTTCACTTTTGATTCAACTGCTTTTAGTAGACTATCTTTTGTTTCTTTTATTTGTTTCCTTTAATTTCCTTTTTCAAAGATTTTTATATTTAGCATCAACGACAAAAAAATAAAACCAAACGTTGGCACATCGGTTGGATTTTTGTATAAAACTGCTTAATTGACTGATTATTATTTTGCTTTTTTCTACAAAAATAAAAAATAGCTGACGAATTATTTTAATATGCTTTAACATCCACCGGTTTGAGATCGTCTTAACTTTAACTGTGTGAGTACAGTATGTATACAGTATATATATGTATACACACGAACCACTACTTATGAAGGCCTCAGACAGAGGCCAAGAATCATTGGAACTACTGCAAAATCTGGAATGTCACAGTAACCAATCTTGATTTAGAATTAAAAACAAGAAAGAAAATAAATACAGAAATAAATAGTAAAATATTGGGGAAGGTCAATTTATAAATTCTGATGTATATATTACATCATGCTATTTGAATCTTTTATTACAATGGGATCAAGCTAATTGATTAACTCAAATAATCTGCTTAGTGGTCACGTGCAATATGCATAATAACCCTACAGACCATAGCCTAAAGGTCAAGGGTCTACATTAAAAAAGAATCGATAATTTTCTTAGAGTTAAACCCCCCTACTTAATTGATATATACTTTGAGCCTTGAGGTGACATGCATTGCTAATTACAATAAGGATGTCTAATCAATTTGAGTGCACTGAGAGATAGATTCTTAATTAATTTGCTTTTCAAAATCAGCAAGCTTTAGTTTTTTCTCCTAAAAAATGCTACACCGAATAAGCAAGCGACATGAAAACTCGAGTTTTGTTTTCATATTATATTTGTTTTGGTTTAGTTTTAGTCTAATATAATTGTAGAAACCCCCTGATGATAAAATCACATGGTTACCCGCATTTTAAGCAGAAATAGAAATGAGAAAAATTTATTTTGTCATCTTGTAATGATTTTTCAATGGGAGTGGTTAAAGAAGAGAGACACGATGAACCAAACAAAAATCAAAATGCTTAGGAAGTACGTTAAAAAAATTTGGTTTTAATTAAATATCTCAGTGGATAATTTTGTATTGGTGTCCTTGTATGCGAACAAGCACAAGTCAACAACAATATTAGTCTCTTTGTGTTTGTAGTTTTGTAGGATTATTTATATGCATAGGAGCTTCGACTAGTTATTTGGCATATATGATTGCATTCGGAAGTTAATGCCTTACCCGACAACGGGTATATATGAAGAAATCAAGAAAATTGCTCATAGTCAACTGTAACACGACTTTTAATTAACTAAGCGATCCAAAAAAAACCACTTAACAACTCAAAATTAAACTGACTATATATGAGTTCTAACTTTGAACTTTGGACGTAGATTAGAGACTTTAAATCAAACTTATCAAAAGACTTACGTTTCAGTCATTGAGAGATTTAGTTTGTTGTGTATTAATTCCACGTTCCAATAATATTATATATAAGATAAGATAAGAGATGTAGATCTTTGATAGTATGGAATTATGGATCATATGTGAATATGAGATAAGTTAGCACTTTTGGTGTGAAGATTATTTTGATTCATATACAACCTTAGTAACCCACACTTTGGTTTATCAAAACTATCCATGCATGATGCATGTGTTAGATAAAGTTTTTTCCTTTGTAGTTCTATACTATTATGAAAGTAACTTTACCAACGTCCCGCTCGACTGCCTATGTTTAATGTTTATTCATTTCATTAGCTTGTACGTTCGTTTGTGCGAAAAAAAAAACAAACTATGCATGTCAAACAATGTAATGTTGTAATGTAAGATCATGATAAAGATTGATTGACCTACAAAACTGTAAAGGTGGGAAATTTCGAATTCATACTTGAATTTGAAGAGATAACTACGTATCTAAGTTATTTTTTGAAATATATTGGCTATAAAAATTACATTGATATAAAGTACACCAAAGCTATTGATAATGATAGGTGATTAATTCTCATCCAAAATGGGAGAAAAATTGTCAAAATTGATAAAAATGATTAGCGTTATATAATTTTGTTATTACGTCAGAGGCTAGGAAATGAGTCCTATTTACAAACGAGCAGCTGAAAGAAGTAAGTGTTGCATAATTTTACCTGCTTATTATCAAGGGTTCTATTTTTGATACAAATATATTTTAACTGAAAAAGGTGTAAAGGTCAGCTAAACTCTTTTTTTGTTCTTCTTTTAATGTCATATAGCCATCGTAAATCAAAAATAAAATTAATTAGATTCGAATGAAAACGTTGCCTTTTTAACCGAATGGGCTACACGGTACAAAAGTGTGATGGACTCCTTATATTAAGGGTTGGAAATGTGACAATTGTTGGTAAGCTTTTTGCATATTGCTAAATGAATGGCATTGGGAATGAAACTTATAATTCTTTTCCTTATATGTAAATGAGTCAAACTAATAATATTATATATGCTTCTATACAATTTTGGCTCTTTTTATAAAATGATATATTTGACTGATACTACAGTAATATAATTGTGGTCGGACGGACCATGATAATCGGTAGTCACCATCTTCTGGTGCAATCGTTCCTGCCTAAGCGATGTAATGTACCAAACACACCAAAAAATGTTTTGCGGCAGAATTAACACCACTGAGGTTTTGATATAAATAAAGTATTTATGTAAATCTATTTAGGATTATTAGGCCGAGATAAATTGTAGAGTAGTGTATATCTAATCTATTGCATAGATAGGAATGTTTGTATCAAAACTCTAAGAGAAAATTTTACCGAACCTTTTTATTCGTGTCCGGATATTGCATAGAGTTCTAAACCGTAATGATTAGAATAAAGTAATAAATGTTTAATTGAGCAAATTTATTAATATATTTCATCCTTTTTTTTTATATAAATCGGGGTTAAAGACAAGCTTAATTAAGCTATATAAGAAACCCTTGACTACTCCACTCAGATTTTGAACTCGATGTGGGACTAACCTTATGTTCCCGTTACATCATAGTTTTACGTATTATTACCACTGAAATTATAATCAGAGATAATGCTATTTAATGCTATAGTTAATACAATTCTCTTTTTAATGGTCATCCATATCATACAGTACTTTTCATAACTATGACAATTTATCTAGAACCGTATTCATTAATTATATTATTTAAATTCAAAGAACTGTATTCATTATATTTATTAAAATTAAAATTTTAGTTTGTCGAAATATTTCCATCAGTTACATCGAAATACATTTTTAAACATATAATTAAGGAGTCAAAAATATACATGAAAATCTTAATACATCAACTAATACATAACTAATTGATTTACAGAAGAAAAAAAAGACATTCTCTCTTTAGATAAATGGTTATAGTTCAATAGGTTTTTATGTTGCACGAGATAATTTTTGCTATCTACGTTTGGTATGACTAAATATAGAACTTATGTAATGGTTGAAAGATTTGAAGTTAATCTGATATTTCCCTGCAAAACCTCGAAGAAGCCAAAAAACAAAAAACTACAACTCCAAATATCTCTTTATACGTGTTTTCAAAATAGGGTAAATAATGTAGATAACATGTGATAATCCCAATTGGCTTCGAGCACGATATTGGGATTGCACTATTGAGCTATTGAACACTTTTGGGTGGAGATCTTTTTAGTCAAGTTCCATGTGATCGAGGCCTTCTTGGGTTTAGGAATTTAGAATTTCTTCACATTTCTCAAAAACAAAAGGCAAAGAAAAACACAGAAAATGTTGAACAGCTAATGAAAAGCCAAAACTTTTTCTTAAGTAATTTTAATAAATTTGCTGTTGTAATTTAAAATTTTTCATTTTAGTGTCAAAAGGACATCCCCGGGATTTAGGGTAAAGGTTGTCTTAGAACAAACTTGGACTTTGACGAGAGTCCAGACGCTGTGACCAAAAAAGCCAAGTGGGGGCTTCACTACTAGTTTGCTATTGAATTGTATCTCTCCTACTCCGACAATATAAGTTCATGATGATTCAAATTAATTGGTATCAATAGATATTATTACTAATGTCGTTTATATATTGTCAACCGAATTGTATAAATTGTATTGTTCTTAGTCAAAATTTTCATATAAACCAAGTGTAAATTAAGAATGATATATTTCAGTATAACACTTTTAATTTTCTTTATGTTTAATATTTTGATGACTTTCGGTACCTTTCAATGTTTTGCTCAAAATTCAGAGGATATACACTAATAATTTGTTTATTTGTTACACTCGTGTAGATTAATTTTTTAGAAATATAGGGCTTGATTGGAAAGTTATAATAAGCTCTGATCCTTTAGTTTACTACTCATTAAATAAAGTCAGGTGATGAAGACACATTCGTGGCACCTAGTGGGACGTAATACATCATAATTATATGCGTAAATTATGTTCGTGCTCTCCATGTGCTCTCTCTATCTAAATCTAATCTAATTGTTTATATCGTTGCATAATTTGTTACGGGATTAGAGTTTACAGAATTGTTTTCCGGCATTAAAATTACAGACTTTTAATTAGAATATCATACGAAACTCAAACACAACGGAACGGAACCAAACAAGGCAACTTTAAAAACCAAACACAACTACAAGATACTTCGGGAAGGAACAAAAGAACCAATCAAAGGTAAACACGTAAGCTATAGAGAGAGAGAGAGAAGCCCCACCGAACCTAGTACGCGCATACTATGTGGGACACTGTCGATGACACGTAAGATACTGTTGCCGCACGCGACAAACAGAAGTACTTAAAAGCTCATCCAGTGTTATGCTTACGTGTCGGGATCCGACCGGGTGGATGTGTGCTGTCGGATCGTCCGGCTGTAATTGTTTCAGTTGATGTGTTGTGGTCAAAA